CGAACATCAACATCCTCGTCCTTTCGAAAACGATCATGCATTGCTCAGACCAAGTTCGAATAAAAAAGACATCCGAACTTCTCTACAGACTGTGAAATTCAATAAATAAACTATAACTACAAATAGATAGGAATAGATTTAGTTTTATTTATATATATATATGTAATTGCTGATTCGATGACTATTACAGGAATTGATTACCTTGGAACATCGTTGAAAGTGTAGGAAAAAAGATTGTATTTTAAATAATTCGAAGTATACTATCAGCTTGCAATATGCAACTATCAGGTGTATTTTTAAAGATAGACAAAAGATATATTAGTTTCTCATTCAATCTTCAAGAACAGATGATATCAGCGTTTATGAAATTTTAACGAATGAAAAAATATGTTTATCTAACTATATGTAATTTATTCTTATATATATATATATATGTATAATAAAAGAATGTCTTTGACTTCAGTATTAGAATTGATGAATAATTCATATTATAATTTAATTATATTCATCGATGAATGTGTTTGAAATATATCAGATTGCCTGTTTTTTTGAAAATGACATTAATTATCGAGAAAAATGAGTAGTTATATATCGATTAGATCTTAAATATATACAATTATTTCGTCTGTTTTTATCGATAGCTATAATCGATGTTGTTAACATCTAATGGTGGATACTCAATCATCTCTTCATACTTTATTTTGTTAATAGAATGGTTGTTAATATGAGATATCTTTTCGAGATGTATTAAAACACATTATATGATATCAAACGAATTAGTTTGAATAAAAATACACGAAGGTCATTGCCGACGTACTTTTAAAAAACTTCTTAAATAAAAACATATTTTAAATAAAATTATGATAGAGAACAAGTTTGTCATGTGTTCAAATGTTTAATTTGATTGATTTATTATTATAAATAGTATTGATGATAAATATGAAGAAACATTTGAATATTTTTACAGTCTTGCCTATTCTTTTTCGAAACGAATGCTTCAAACATAAAATACATACTCAAAGTATGTAGATAAGAAAGAATAGATGACCTATGAAGAAGAACGTTGATTTTTTACATACATATAATACGCACATGGACGTCATGTGTAGAGTATTATTTTTTTTCTTTTTCTTAATACTTTTTAACGTTTGTAGTTACATACATACGTCTTTTATTTTTATCATGAAAGTGGTCTCTTGCATTGTATTCTGTCGACAATGACTGATTGCTTTTTTTTGTTATATTTTTTAGATTATTAAAAGGATGTCCAAAGTAAATAAAAAATCACCTTATGATCCCGAACTTGAGCAAGTCCTAGAGAAAATGAGACATGCAGGATCAATTGTTAGTTGTACACTCAGCAACGTACCAACGTTTCGAAAAACTCTATTGACAACTAGGCTTACCGATGAACAGTTGCATCGAAATGGAGCAATTGATAGTGCAGAGCGTAAAGTACCTGGTCCTGAAGGTGCACCTGAAATCACTCTTTTGATATGCCGTCCTGGTGCATTGAAAATTAATAAATCCAATGTGTCATTACCGTGCATCTATTTTATACATGGTGGTGGAATGATTGCAGGAGATAATCGTTTTTCTCTACAATCTTTGCTTGATTGGATTGTAGAACTCAACATTATTATTGTATCGGTTAAATATCGTCTTGCACCCGAATATCCTCATCCGGCTCCTTCAGAAGATTGCTATGCTGGATTATTATGGACAGCTTTACATGCACAAGACTTGGGCATTGACGTTTTCCAACTTAGTGTAGCGGGTACTTCTGCAGGAGGAGGTCTTGCAGCTGCTATGACATTAATGGCACGTGATCATGGTGGACCTACATTACAAGGTCAGCTACTCTTCAGTCCTATGCTTGATGATCGTGATCAGACATTTTCGACTCATCAGTTCGAAGGTATGGGCATATGGGATCGACAATCGAATCTGTGTGGTTGGACAGCATTACTTGGTGATCAAAAAGGCAGTCCAGATGTTTCTCCATATGCTGCTCCATCGCGTGCACAAGATCTCAGTAACTTACCTCCAGCTTTTATTGATGTTGGTTCTGCAGAAACTTTTCGTGATGAAGATATCGACTATGCTCAACGTATATGTCAAGCTGGTGGTACTGTCGAACTACACGTATGGTCTGGCGGTTTTCACGGCTTCGTTGGTGTAGCACCACATGCTGTATTATCAAAACAAGCTAATGAAACAAGTAAAAATTGGTATCGTCGACTTTTGGCTTCTCATAAAAAATAGTTTTGTATTAAAAAATTTCCTTGAAAATTGCGTATGCAAACAATATAGATATTATACAAACTTTATTTTTCTACGCTGATTTAAAGATCCCTGTTTTTTCGATATATTGATTTTAATCAAATAGCGTATTGTGTGTTTACAAAAAATAAATACTATAAGTAAAATTAAACATTTTATTCCGCTTATTCGACTTGACAAATCAATAACTCTTCTAATGAGTCATATTTTTGATCAAGTGTTTATGTACAATAACATTTATTAATAAACAAAAGTAATTGTTGATTATCATCTCTATTAAAAATTTAACAATTCAGTGTGAAAACAATATAACAATGTGGAACTTTTGAATAAACTAAATTTCTCGTTGATTCCAGTTAAAGTGTTCATCATTGAGGATGTGCAAGCGGGTGTGCGTATTCGATGCATTCAACACTCACATCCTCCAGATAAATACATTGTTTCATAGAAATTATGAAAAACTTTCTAAACTGAAAATTTGACGTTTTAAACAATTTTGACAGGTGGATTTCAAAATTAGTATTAATTTACAACTTGCCACTGCATGTATATTTTTCATTCTATTGTCATTTCAAATAGTCCAGACCATCTTTCTCTTTTATTTTTCTTATTTAAAAGCATAGAAGTGGATGAAAGAGTGTGCTTTTATTTCATTTACCATCTCTATGAAGAACATGCAAAGAAAAACTTCAATCGTTTTCTATTTCTTTCTTTTCTCGTTGCATATTATTTAGGATGCATTTACAGTTTTTATTTTCTTTCTCTTTTTTTTCCTTCGGTGGGTTTTTTCCCAGTTACAGACTGCTACTATATATATATATAAATGTATTCTTTACAGTTCTTAACAGTGAAAAGTTATTTTAAATCAACTATCATCATACAAACAAACGTCACTGTGTAAGTCGTATAAGATCCCGCAATTTTAATATATTCTTTAGTATGGTAATAACAATGATACATTTACTTGTCCGTTTTAGAATACGATGCAATTCGCAAATCAAATGAAGATTCTATTGATTTTTTTATGCATATTATCACATTCTGTGTCTGGCGGCCCAATATCATATGGTACCTGTCAAACGGCTTGTAACAAGGGTGCTATGTCTTGTTACGGGTCAGCTGGTGTTATTTTTGGTGTAGGAGCTGTTCTTGCTTGCGGTCTAGCACAAGGATCATGTATGGCCGCTTGTACTCCATTTTAGGCACCAATAATACCATAACCAAACAATTCATATTCGATCACTTTACTTTTTTCTCTACGTATGCTTTTAACTCGTTTTGTTTGTCTCTTGAAGAAACAATAGTGTGAAACACTATTCGATATGTATCATGTGATAATTTTTTCCTAATATACCCATTTATCGACTTTATATATCTTGACTGACAACAGAGTTTCTATCTTATTTAAAATAAAGATGCATTGAAATATCGTCGAAAACATTTTCACTTTGACAAGGATTATATTTAAATTGAAAAAAATGTAGTCATATTCAAATAGTAACTTTTTTTTTCAATTGGAAGCGAGTATAATACGTAAATTGAAAAGTTGGATCTACATGCACCTACTCTTCGCTATACTTCTAGTTCTACTCTTGAGAGGTGGGTGTGAGGGTGCGGAAGTGGTTGTGGATGTGTATGTGTATGGGTGTACGTATTGAAATCATTCTCTGCCACCCACACCCCAATCTTGTCGAAGGTGTGGGTGTGAGTGAGTGCTAAATCCATTCCAATTGCACGCACTCTCAATTATTTTATCTTTTTATAGAAATAACTTTTAATTATTCTAAATAATGGATATTGAATTATTTTTCAAAAGTATCCAAACAAAATAAAATATATTTGATAGAAGTTGTTTTTTTTCTCATAATAAAGAAGTTATTCATCATTCTTATCATATCAGATATCATTTAATAGGTTCTGCGTTCTTATCATGAATATGTTTCAATATAACTCACTATATAATTATCGAGGATGAAATCGAGAAAAAAAAGGAAGTAAAAGGTCATTTTTGTTCTATTTAATCGATGAACAAGAATAAGCCCTTCAATTCTTTCTATTTATTATAAACCATGGGATTATTTTCATTGTTTATATCTATTATATTCATTTTATCTTTAAATAGTTCCCATAATATATTAGCAAATTCAATGGCTAACATGAAGACAAAATATTTCGAAATATCTGTTGCTAAATCGGAGTTGGATGTTTCTACACACTTCAATACAGTTGATCACAATATATGTCGAAACCAATCTTTATCAAATAATGGAAATAAAACAATGATAAATTGTCTATTTAATACACAACTCATTTTAAAAAAATCTGAAATTAAACTGAAATCATCAGCTACCAGAAAATCTGATAAAAAAATAGAAACAACGACAAAAATTCCTCGATGTGGAGTACGAGATAGTCCTCTTGTGTATTCAGTTGAAACTCAATGGTAAGTTTATTTTTTTATACTTCGAGATTATAAATCTTTGTTATCAATATTGTTTAGGAAAAAGAAATCTTTGACGTGGAAATTGCTTGATGGAGACCACCCTTCATATGGTACAGGTAGAACTCGTGCACAAATTCAAGACGCATTTAATGATTGGGCTAGATATGCACCATTAACTTTTAGAGAAGTATCACAATATGACGAAGCTGATTTTGAATTGGCTTTTATTCATAGAATCCATGATGCTATTCGTCGTTTCGATGGACCTGGAGGAACTTTAGCATATTCATATCTTCCTCCTTCAGGAATGATTCGTTTTGAAGCAGAAGAACCATGGACAGATGAGTAAGTATCATAACTATGCTGCAAAATACAAAGTTTATTTTCTGTTTAGTTATACCAAAACTGGCTTTAATTTACGTCTTGTAGCGACTCATGAAATAGGTCATGCACTTGGACTTGGCTATTCTAATAATCCATCATCGATAATGTTTGAACAATATCAACTTTTCCAACCAGAACAACTTCTACCAAGAGATGTGAGTAATAATATTCTCTATAGTTTTATAATAAGTTAGTTAATGATAGTCAGGACATATAAAACTTCATCTTTTAATTGAAGAACTCTCTAAATCAACTATGTATTTAACACAATACATGATCCAAATTATATTTATATATAAACAGATGACTTAATATACAATGAATTTTAGGATCGCGATGCAATTCGAGCACTATATGGGTTGAGATCTACTCCTAGAAGAACATATCCAACTAGTACACGTAGAAGAACATATCCAATTACTACACGTAGAACAACAACGCGATGGCTAACAAGATACATACCAACATCATCATGGAGAACAGTGAGTTATTGGCCAACAACAGTATGGTGGACAACAAGATATAGTCCTACAACCACACGAAGAGCAGTAAGATATAGATCTATGACAACATCGAGACCGCCATCAACATGGAGAACGATGAATTATTGGCCAACAACAGTATGGTGGGCAACAAGATATAGTCCTGCAACTACGCGAAGAACAGTAAGATATAGATCTACGACAACATCAAGAAAGACAGGATACAAAACAACAACAGCACCTACCAGGAAAACGAAGATAACCATACCAAGAAGCAAAACAGCAAACAAATTAGGAAGTATATGGAGATATACAACTAAGCGCTCAACTAGCACAACAACAACGTCGCAACCAAATAAAGTATGGGTAGGATTATGGCCAACATGGACGATATTGTATCCAAAGTCAACAACTCATTCTGTAAGATACAAATTAGGATCGACCAAAGTATCTAAAAAACAAAATGTACGAACTACGATATTTAAAAAGACAAAAACAACAACATCAACAACTGCCAAAATACAGAAAATATTGATAACAACACTACCAGCAACGGAATTAATAGTAACACCGAAAGAAACAGAAGAATCTAAGCAAGTAACAACAACAACTAAATCAGTTCCAGATATAAGTAAGCTTACAACTGTGGATAGAGCAACAGAGAAATCAACTGAAACTACAACAATATTGCCAATCAGAAAAATAACTACAGTGATCGAACAAATTAAGACATTATCAACAAAAACAGTTGTAGCAAGTAATATAACAACAAAATTATTACAACGAACATCAACAATAGTATCAGAAAAAGTAAAAATACTAACAACAACCCCACTGATAGCAACTAAAAATAATACAAATGCGCAACAAAATATTTGATTAATTAAAAAGATGAAATGATCAGTAAAATAAAACGTAAATTATCAGTTCAAAGAATGAATGATTAGTATTGAGACTACCAGGGTGTGGGTGTGGGTGTGAATGTGGGTGTGCCTGCGTAGTATGAAACAAGAATGACTTATATACCCACAACCTCGCACACACACCCAAAGATAATTCAGACAATGATAAGTTTTTATCTTGATCTATAGATTGAAAAATTTAATATTATTATTGAAAGTGATGTGTTTGACACTCTCGTATTTCAAAGTAAAACGTAAACTAAAAATGATTTTCAATAAAAAATAAAAAATATGAAATCAATATATATATTGTCTAAGTCTTCGATAAACAGGTAAATTATATATCGCAATTATGTGTAACAATTGGTTCATCCATCGTACTCAATTTAAATATAATTTTTTCGTGTTTCACAACTTCATAATCATTCTGGCATTTTATCGATTCTTCACATAACGAACTAAATTCATTCCATGTCTTTATATTATCCAATGAAGCTTTACTGAATTGAGTTATTAACATTTCTGTAGTTAAATTAAATTTTTCTAAATGTTGTAATAAATAATGAAATATATCATCTTGACTTGTTGCTCTCAGTTGATATATAAATGTATTCTGTTCATATTGATACATATTGTATTGAAATTCATCGGCTTGTTCTTGCAAATGAATACAAGGATAATTGAATTGAATTGATAATTTAAATAGTTGACTTCCATCATTCACTTCAATAACACTACCATCATATTTTTTTGTATCAATATTTTTGATTGAATGCCAATAATGTTCACCACAGGAGCATTCCTCATTGCTTTGTTCATAATCTTCAACTGAGCGTTGTTTATATTCTTCAAGAATTCGTTGTCGCATACTTTCAATAGCATACGATGGATATTCTTCATCGCCTACTTCGCCATCATCGTCATAAAAATCTGGTGAAATACGATTACCATATAATGTGACATAGATATGTGCGTGATGAAGTGACTGTGCATATAGAAAGTAATGTTTTACAATATAATCAAAACGATCATCGGGATGTCTATTACCATGAGCCAATTGAAATAATAGTGGTGTTGATGAAGACATTTATTTTTGTTAGTAAAGTTAGAACAAAATTTGTTTGTCTTAAATACTGTTTCTTAAAAAGAAATTACACTGTTGTTGTGCAATTCTTAAGATAAAATAAGACTAGATAAGAACGAATATAGACAAGATGAAAAAAAATGATACTATTAGAAAGTATTTCAAAGATTTTAAGTTGATTTTCATGTATTTAGTAAATCTATTAGGATGGGTGTAAGTATTATATTTAACTCTAACTTTCACCCACACACCCCAAGATGGTGATTGATTTTACACGCCATCGTATGTTAGGTCAAATTTGCCATTGTCAGACACTCGATCATCATACCATTTGCCTTGAAATCTTTTTTCTTGAATATTCCAAATTAGTTGAACAACTATTTTACGATTAGCATCCATTGGTTCAATCGTATTTTCTGATCGATACGTTTTTGTAAAAGCAATTCGATTAGTTATATATGAATAGAAACCATTAATAATAAAATCACCCATATCATCTATACCAGATCCAATGACTGTCATCGATCGTGACTGAAATGTCAGAGAACAACGATAAGGACCATACTGGTTATTAGATCGATAATATTGACTAGTCCAAAAGCCAGAGTAAAATACAAAGTCTTGTTTTTCTGATCGACAACATTTAGGTAATGCTAAACTCACGAATCTTCTATTTGATCGTGATTTCTTACATCGACAGGATTTGTCACGATGAAAAAAGCACATTATAATAAGCGGAAAGAAACACCGATTGTATACCCACGAATCTCAAGACCAATATGTTCATAAAATACTCAGTAGTATATCTGCTTTCGCTTATGTAGCAATCTAAAATAAGAGACATTTTAATGAAAAATTTTAGTTTAAAGTTGTAATAGAAACTTAATGAATCATTGCTTCTTTTTGTGTATTCATAAACGATGCAAATGGAGAATTTATGTTTATGCCACGATCAATTTTTTTCTGTTCTTGCCATTGAATCATCATCGTCATAGTTAAATTGCAACACTAATTCAACCAACAAAAATGCTGCAGAATTGAGTACCATCAGTTTGAATGAAATAGTTGACAAACACAAAAAAAAAGAAGTTTTTCAAGGTTTTTTTTCACAGGGTAGACATGTTTAGTGGATTCTAAGGATGATTTTATTTTTATAGATGCACTGATGGAAAAAAAAATACAATTGACTTTATTTGGATGAGTGTAAAAAGTCATAGAAACCAATCCGATATTTTGCAGCTAATTAATCATTTATAACACTCGAAATTTCCATTAAGATTAATAGAAAAATAAGTTTTACGAGATGATAGCCAAACGTCAAAATACAATAAGTTACAATTTACAATCAGAAAATCATTATTTCCTATGTGATAATTCGTAAAACTTATAGTTTGTAGTTTTTCTTGTTAGCAAAAATTGCAATACATTTTATTTGAATATGTTCTATAAGTTAACGTCTGTGAAAGGAAACCTTTTTCGGTTTTTTTCGATAAAAGTATGCTAGCGTCTCTCTATTATTATTCTTTCCTACAAATCATAGTGTGAAAGAACTATATTCTAGTTTAATCGCATGTTTGATCTTGTCATTGTTGTTTTCGCCTCAAATGAGTATGTATGAATGTGAAGAAGTATAGATATAAAGTTAATCATCCATTTACTATAAACTGCTGAGAAAAAAATATATTTAACTTCATTGAAATGATATTTTATTTACTGATGACATATTTCATAAAAGATATTTTAGACGTGTGTGAATATGATGAATTGAGCAATAAATCTGTGTACCTTTATACTTTTAAAGTTTAAAAGCTTTGCACCATTTTTGATCTTTTAACCCATGGTCAGAAATTATCGATCGAATTTAATGATTAATTCTTATAGCCACAAGAATAATTGGAAATTCTTAAGCAAAATACATTTCTTCAGATGCCCTGATGAATAATATTTCTTTCACTGTTCATGTAGACTTATCTAACAGCAGTTTTCACATTTCGAAACATTTTCTTATTAAAATAATATTTATTTCTTTTTAACAAAAATAAAAAATCACATTAATAGATAGATGAATAATATAATGCTTTGAATAAATATATGGTAGCGAAAATGTCTTTAGTATACACTGTCTCAATACATTTGAGTGTAGTAAATGATGAGAAAGATATTGAGACCAATACCAGCGACGGTAGCAATACCATTCACTATGCCAGTTGCCGTTGACAGAGACTTAGCGCCTTGTACATTGTTACTTTTCTTTTTTTCCATTACCATACTTGAGAGAAATATGGCAACAAGGCCTAAAGGCCATAAACAACACAGACAGTTAAAAATTGACCATGCCATGAAATCACTTACGTTAGCACCTTGATTGGGTGCAAACACCATACTATTAGGCATTCGCTGCGGCTGCGCTTGATTCACTTTAGGATAACCAGCTTGAGCATAACCAGCTTGAGGATAACCAGCTTGAGGATAACCAACTTGAGGATGTCCAGCTTGAGGATAACCAGCTGGAGGAGGTACAAATTGCCCGTAAGATGTGTATGCTGGTGGTGGTGGCTCATTCTGTACACTGATGGCCACTGGATTCGCGAAACTGAAATTTGATGGAGGCATGCTTTGTGTTACTGGAACATTGTTTACAGCTTCTACCTCGTTATTTGTTGTGTTACCTGTCTCATCCATTTTTTGCTTGTGAATCAAGTGAATGTAATTGTTAAAACGTCATATCTTCTTTGCTCTCTGATAAGAGAATGGTAAGCAAACAATATGACTTTAGTTCTCATATAGTTAGAGAGATTTTATATATTATCGCATGTCGCATGGCTGAAATTTCGTAGACTCTTTTTTTTTCTTTCTTGTACTGTAAAAAGTAAATTTACACAATCGCAAATGAGATAGTTACGAAGAAGCTACCAGAACTATTATATTTTAATAAAACTTCGCAATTCTGTCTTTGCGCGTTTGTTCGTTGTGTTAGCTAGCTCATGATTTATTCTTTTCAAAGACTCACAATAGATATTAGTATAAAACAAAAGAGATGAACTTAGCGTGGGTGCGAATAGATCAGTTTCGTCAATAGAGACATAAGACAATCTTCTATCTCTCTTATTCATACTCTCACACATTTAAATACTCTTACTCATTCTTATCAATCTTCGACGTAATAGATGTAGATAAATTAGATTTTACTTCGCTCACATTCACTAATGAAACTAAATTATATTATTATAAAAAAAATAATATATGATTAATGACAAATAATGTAATTTATAGAATTTCTATAAAAAGAAAATTATTCGATATGAACAGAATTTTTAGAAACTTTATAATAAACAAAATAAGAAATAAATTTGAGATATATCTGATCAAAAGTTTTTTTTAATAAATATTTCTGTAACGAAAAAACACTGATGAGGGGTTGTTTTATTAAAAAAAGTAAATAATTAAATATTTGCCCTAATGAAGAAAAGATGATTTACAAAATAACTATAGCCACTCTATAACGCTTGCCAAACATCTACTGTTTATAAAAAAAGAAAGGAAAGATAGAACAAGTTAAATATCAAAATTCATTGCTGCTAAGAATAGATATAATTGTTGCATCTTATTTTCTCTAGTGAATAACTTGAATTTGAAAACAACGAATACTAAATTAAATCTAGATAACTTCATATTTGAAGTTGTTAAGAATAGTATAACAATGAAAAAGTTCTTTCAATTGATTAGATATTATTAGATGCATATAATTAGTTTTATACGATTTTCATCACATAGATTCGGTTTCAAAAGAAAATGACGATCTATACTTATATACCATTTTCTTGAGAGTGTGGGTGTGAAAGTGTAGAAGAGATAAATACCACTCACACCCACCCTTGGCTCCTGTGTTAACAGAATAAAATGACAAACTTATTTGAAATATTGAAATTTGTAATTAAATATGTATTTATTATTTGATATAAAGAAAAAAAATATATTGTTTTTAGAATAAATATTTGCCCATAATAAAAGTAGTCTATGAAATGTTTTTAACATTGATTTAAAAGAATATTTAAAGTACTATAATAAGTAATAAGAGCAATATCTATTTTTCCATCTTGATTGAAATCGCCAGTTGTAACTGCATAACCATACAATTCGGTGGTAAATCTTTGATATGCTTGAAATATTCCATTTTGTTTATTTAAAAAAATATAAATAAAAGTATCATCCCAATTTACAGTAATAATATCAATGAATGTATCATTATTTAAATCAATTAATACAACTGATCTTGGAGCTCCACCAATATAATATGTATCTCGTCTATTAAAATTTCCATATCCATCATTAAATAAAATACTTAATGTAGATGATAAGTCATTAGTATTAACAATATCTATAAAATTATCATTATTTAAATCAGCACTGGCTATACCCCATGGTCCAATACCAGTGAAATATGTTTTTCTATTTTTAAATATTCCATTTTTTGAATTCATATTAATACTAATTGTATTATCACTAAAATCAGTAGTAACAAAATCAGGATATAAATCATTATTAAAATCAGCAACAGATACAGCTGTGACATCGTTGCCAACTGAATATGTTTCAGAATAATTGAATGATGAATTATAATAATCATATAAAACAGTAACTGAAGCTTCATGATCATTGACAACAACAATATCTAATAGATTATTTCTATTAAAATCTGAAATGTCAATCCAATATGGAGAATTTCCAACTGGAAAAGTTATTGGTGAATTAAAATTTTGATTGCCATTATTGATTAAAATGGCAATTTTATTTAATAAAGTATAAGTTAAAATAATATCTGATCTATTATCATTATTCATATCTCTAATAACAACATAAGTACAACCTAAAGTCGTCGAATATAATGTTTGATTTCGAAAGTCTCCATTTCCGGAACCATAGAATATACTAATAGTTGCATCATCTCTATTGACAACAACAATATCAAGTAAAGAATCTTCGTCTAAATAACCATTGCTTATTGACCAAGGGTTATTTCCAGTTAAATAACTTGTATAATTTGAAAATTTTAACGGATAACATGGAATATCTAGAAAAGATCATTTTAATTTTGGAAAAAAAAATAATTATTAATTTACATGAAGAATTTATGTTCGAAATATCACTTAAAATTGATGTTGTTACTAAATAAATAAATTTATTTACATATACATATTATACTATTTTATTATTACCTGCAGTTGAAGTTGTTTTCATTCGAGTTGCTCGTGTTGTTTTTCTCAAAGCGCTGGTCGTTCCTGCAAATAGTTTTTAAGTTATTTAAATTTTATTTTTCTCCTTTTAATCGCACAAAGATCTTCATTTGATTACAAAAATTTGGCCAAGAAAAGTGAGCTCCGCGAGGTGCTAGCTTCAAATTGTCGTTTTTGCGATCCCATCGTCCACATTTTACCGAGCACTATTCTGAGTCTATGCGAAGGTGCCTAGCTGTTCGTCGAACCTTCTCGAAATTTTAAAAATAGACAACCTGACACCTTCAATACTAATTGCGATCAGCACTTAATAAAGTAGTAGCGATCAGAAAATTGTTTCCCATAACTGAGCAATATTACTTACAACCCGCAAGTAGTATTCCGAGAACAGAACAATATTAGTCAGAACCCGGAAGTAGTATTCCAAGAACACAACTATATTAGTCAGAACCCGGAAGTAGTATTCCCAGAACAGAACAATATTACTCACAACCCGGAAGTAGTATTCCGAGAACAGAGCAATTGTGTTCTGTTTTGGGAATAGCACTTCCGGGTGTTGAGGTTCGATTTATTGATTTAAACTGAAACTTAAATTACAAATCAATATCGAATAAAGTGAAAGTAGTCTACATCTAATTTTAATATTTAAAAAAAAATTTTTATTACCAATGTCATATTTTATATTGATAGATGAAAATGATGACTGATAACGAATGAATATAATTACTGTAATAACACTAATAATAAATGATATTTGAATTAAGACACAACTCCAAACAAGAAATCGACATTTTGTTGATAAATTACTTTCTCTTTAAAAGATATTTTTAAATTGAAATATTAATTGAAATTAATAGTATAATTACTTTTGAAGGTGATCTTCTGGAATTGATAGTTCTTCCATCGAAATTTTTCTTAAGATAAAAACAATAAAAATTACAATTCAACTTCTTCTCATAAGGACACAAGACGATCTTACTTAATAAATTGAAACTTATCAATAATTATTTGAAATCTACTTACTTTATACTAATGATAGAAATGATTCTTGTAATTTTATGCTTGTTAGTAAATAAAAAAATGTCAGTATTTCATTTTTAAAATTATTTTTTTCTTAAAGAAAAAATGTTTTAAGAAAATTAAAAAAAAGTATTTTATTTAAGAAGTAACTACGTGTTTGTTTACTCACTGGAAATCATTGTTTCTTTTATTCAATGATTAACATATATATAAATTCGATTGAAATGATTATTTAACAACAATTTAATGTTCTCAGTTAAAATAATAATCGAGAAGATTTTCATCTTCAATTTTAAGTCAAGAAGGAAACATTACTTTCTAAAAATTAGTTTTTCTTGAAAAAATAAAAATGTTTCTAAGGAGGCAAAAGATGGAATCATTTTCCAGTGTTGCTGATTCATAAATGAAAAAATATCATCTTAACCAATTGAGAAATAGTTTTCCTCAGAAAAAAAAGATTGACCTATGTTTTTTTGTTTATTAACAAACAATTTTTTCTAAGCTATACAGACGGTCTAACACAGTTATATTGTTACATATTATTTTCAAAAAAGAGTAATTATATTGATCTCGAATGACAATAACATTTGTTTGCTGAGTAATTCAATACGTTAAGTTCTTAGGTAAACTTTATTCTTAATTCATTTAATAAAGGAATTTATAATCAAATACTATTATGATCATTAGAGATAAGTGATCAATGTCGAATCTGTTTACTATTGATTATCATACATTGTTTTAATAAACAACTAATTAAGTATAAATACCTGTTAACAAATAATATTAACAATAGGGATACTGCAAAGATTCTGTCTCTTTCACATAAAGAACAGCTGTACTTACATCTTTATTGGGATTTAGTCTATAATTATCAATTAGATAAATCTCATTTGTTTTTCAACTAATGAATTAAATGAATCATATAGAAAGAAAGATTTTTATTTAGAAACTACGTTGATTACTTTAACTATTTTCTAACTACTTTCATTATGTTGCCTCGTTTTTTTTTCTTCAACATACATCACTTTGATTATTATGAGTGGTAGAAACACAGAAGGAAAGAAACATTACTCGAATATTATCATTTCAGTTGATGGCAATCATACGTTAAGAAGTATATAGTTTAACTGTTAGTATATTAATCGTATTTCGTCCACTGTCGTTAATGAAGAAAGTACTATATATTTTCCCATCATCCTTCATAGATAATTGAGTAATTCTCGCCATGATTTCATGAATCACAGTTTTATTATTTTTATGAAAATTATAATAAACAAACATATTTACTGTTATTCATAATTTTTCTCAGTAGCTAATAAGTTCAACGATTTCTATCTTATTAACGTCTTCCATACGAAATTTATGATATTCAATTATTTACTTTATTTATATTTAGAGTATCGACTGTTGTTTTTCAAGTGATATTTATCAAACATTCCAATCTGCAATTGTTAATTACAAATCAATTCACGTTGAACATCAAAGAGTCTATCATCTATTGGAATAAACAGTATGTATTTTTTATATTTTCTTTTCGTCAATAAATGCAACTTCATCTGATTTATGTGGGAATGCACCGAGCCCGAGCCTCTCGGGGCTCGGTCAGGGTTCGGGTGTCAGAATTGATGTGAGAGTGGGTGAAGCGACTACTCTCGTTTTCACTCTCACCCACGCCCACCCTAGCCACACCCACACCCACCCACACCCACACCCACACCCACACCCTATCTCATTAACATTACTTTCATACCTAGCTTTAACAAAATTGGTGCTTTATTTTCGACTAATAGTTAAACTACTTATATATTTCGTTCTAGTGCCAAACAATAGAAAATCCGCTTCTGAATTACGGCGGAAAGCAGAGCTTTTCTTTGTGAATCTCAATTTATTTTCATCTGTTTCACCAACTATCGATGTACATCAACTTCGAAATCAACGCATTTCAACGAGATTATTTATTGTTTTATTAAATATATCATTATCTATTCTTCTCTTATATACGTCACTGATAAATATTATAGAAACAGTTAATGTCAAAACACCGTCTATTACAGAATATGAACAACTTTATGACTCATATAGTCAAACATTAATATGTGAATGCACACAAGTGTCAATCAATTATGAAAAAATTATTCAAATTCAATACACGCTACATCAAATATGTCATAGTGATTTTGTTACACAAGAATGGTTTAAATATCTTGCCACTTCGCCCGGAAATGCTGGAATATTTTATGATACATTTCGAGTGATGGGCACACTTGTATTTCAAGCTTTATCGACACTTTGTGTCCTAGTTGATCAAACAATATTAAATCGTTTAATTCAGTTCAATTCAACGCAATATATAAGTGCATCTGTAACACCTTCAAATGTATTTCAACTACAAACTGATGCATTTATATCTCAATTCATATCGTCAACAACAAATGAATTTTTACTGTCACTTGCTATGATACGAAAAACAACTCAAAGCAACGCTTTGGTGTCTGGACAATTCACTAATTATAGATTCTATCCTGGCAATGATGATTATTTATTTACAAAATCTGCACGGTACGGTGATTGTACATGTTCTTCATCAGCCACATGCAGTGATCAATATGCAGTTGTGTATTATCCTAATTTCACGGATATATTTCCTTTACCAGGTCTTTATACGGGATGTTATATAATTGAATCACTACTTCAGTCTGATCTTCAATGTTTTTATAATCAAACCTGCATCAATAAACTACAATCATATTTGGGATCGTCTACACTTATGAATGTGACAGCTCTTGATATATCACTGTCAATCCAGTATTTGGAAAACTCAACAATTGCAGATATTCTTGATCAGCTGATGGTTGAAGAATGGAATTCATCAAGTATATATGAGAATTATTACAATGAATGTCAACCATCAAGGTGTACTTATACTGTTCCGGCGAAGAATAGTGCCATATATATTGTTACAACTCTGATCGGATTAGTTGGTGGTTTAATTACAGTATTGAAATTGATAGCGCCCATATTAGTCAAGTTCGTAACGAAACGCATTTACAAAGCACAAAAACCAGAAACTGGTAAGAGATGAAAATAGCTTGAGTAGTGTTTTATATAGAATGGAGAGGGAAAAGAAGAGGCGATGTTAAACGAATGAGAATGTCGTTCTAATAGATTTAGTAAAATAATGCAAAAATATTGACCTAAGTATTTGAAAGAGCTACATGTGCATGGATGGTTTTTTTGACAGTATTTTTTATTTAGGTAAGTAAAGCAAATCATAAAACAAAATAGAAGAGAACTACTCGAGTAAGACACTTGAAATAAATCAACTTATACCTGTTTCTCTAAAACACTATCATATGCTTAAATGGTCATTTCTATCTTTACACATCAGTACTATCATTTGTATTAAAGTGCATAATATTCGATTTCCACACCAATCTAAGATGAAAGTGTTCTTTCTAGCCTAATTGCATGTATGTAGGTCCTACATGATTCACGTATGATGCTTAATATCTAGAGACAATAATGATATTTTATCCCACTATTCATAACTGCCAACAAGTAAGAACACCCCGGGACAAAGTTAGGTAATAAAATGCCAGTTTCTCAACAGAACGTAAACAGATGTATCGAAATAGATATTTTACTGCTAAAATCAACTAGAGATACATTACGGTCAACTTTTATTAAATATTTGAAAGATTAATAATCTGTCCAGAATTCTGAGGATCTTAATAAATAGAAGATTGTCTAGATTCCTTTTTATGTTCTATTAATATTCTATCATTACAAGTTTTCTAATACTTTTGCTTTGTTAAGAAACATTGGAACGAGAATCAAAATGCAGTATATTACACAAATTAAAAGAATACTTATATACATTCAATATCTTTCCATCTGTTCCGCCAAGTACTAATGAACATCAACTTCGAAATCAACGCATTTCAACGAGATTATTTATTGTTTTATTAATTATATTATTGTCTATTCTTCTCTTATATACGTCACTGATAAATATTACAGAAACAGTTAATGTCAAAGCACCTTCTATCAAACAATATGAACAACTCTATAATTCATATAGTCAAACATTAACATGTGATTGTACACAAGTATCAATTAACTATAAGAAATTTATTCAAATTCAATACACGCTACATCACATATGTGATAGTGACTTTGTTACACAACAATGGATCAATTATCTTGCCACCTCGTCTGGAAACAATGAACTAGATTACACCGACTTTCGAGTAACAAGTACATTTGCATTTCAAACTATGAACGCATTTTGTACACTAGTGAATCAAACAATATCGAATAGTTTAATTCAGTTCTACTCAAATCAATATGTAAGTGCATCTGTAACACCATCAAATGTATTTCAACTACAAACTAAAGCATTTATATCTCAATTCATATCATCAACAAGAAACGGATTTTTATTATCACTTACTATGATACGAAACATAACTCAAAGCAATGCTTTACTCTCTGGTGAACTAATTAATTTTGGATTCTATTTACCAACTAGATATTCCTTAATTCCAAATTCACGCTCGTATGGTAATTGTACATGTACTTCTTCAGCTACATGCATTAGTCAATCCGCAATTTACGGTTTATTGAACGACGCAGTATTATTTTATGTTCCAGGCGTTTATACAGGATGTTATATAATTGAATCATTACTTCAATCTAATCTTCAATGTTTTTATAATCAAACCTGCATCAATAAACTACAATCATATTTTCAAGTATTTTCACTTATGAATGTGACAGCTCTTGATATATCATTGTCGAATAAGTTTTTTGAAAACTCAACAATTGCAGATGTTCTTGATCAATTGATGGTAGAAGAATGGAGCAATTCAAGCATCTATGAGAATTATTACAGTGAATGTCAACCATCAAGGTGTACTTATACTGTTTCGGCGAAGAATAGTGCAATATATATTGTTACAATGTTGATTGGTTTATTGGGTGGTTTGATTACAGCATTAAAATTTTTAGTACCATATTTGGTGATGTTGATTAGAAGAAAAAAAGAATTCGAGAGAACAGAGACAGGTGAGATCAAACTGAAAATTGTTCTGTGTGCATTATAGAAGGTAATAATGTGAGAAGTAAACATATTTATTTCTCGTTCAATAACACACTAATACCGCCGATGTTTGTACTTTTATTGAACTTCCGAGACATTATCACAAGATTTATGTACAGATGAGCCAGGGTATGGATTGACGTATATATATCCCATGATTAGTACAATACCATATGTTAACTGTTCGAGTATGAGTGTATGTGAATGGTTATCAGTCTTCTCACTTTGCACACCAATACTCACATCTTTACTTAATCATTTGTATCGTCATTGTGCACTTAATATCTATTATATTCTATTGAACGGAGTGGGAAGACTAGAGTTGTTAGTGCTATACATCAACACTTCTTATAAACCTTTTTTCATAGAAATTAATCATTTTTTTTCTTCTCTATAAGGTGACTTCTTGTTTTTGTGATTCTTTTTAAGTGATGAGTATCAATGAACGCGTTCGAACATTCTACGAAAAAACAAAGCTTTTCGTTTCAAATTTCAATTTATTTCCATCTGTTCCGCCAAGTACCAGTGAATATCAACTTCGAAACCAACGCATTTCAACAAAATTATTCATCTTATTATTAATTATATCATTATCTATTCTTCTCTTATATACGTCACTGATAAATATTACAGAAACAGTTAATATCAAAGCACCTTCTATCCAAAAATATACACAACTATATAACTCATATAGTCAAACATTAACATGTGAATGCACACAAATATCAATCAACTATAACAAATTTGTTCAAATTCAATACAGGCTACATCACATATGTGATAGTGACTTTGTTACACAACAATGGATCGATTATCTTGCCACGCTGTCTGAAAACAGTAAACTAAATTACACCGACTTTCGAGTAACAAGTACATTTACATTTCAAACTATGAATGCATTGTGTACATTAGTGAATCAAACAATATCGAATAGTTTAATTCAGTTCTACTCAAATCAATATGTGAGTGCATCTGTAACACCATCAAATGTATTTCAACTACAAACTGATGCATTTGTTTCTCAATTCAAATCATCAGCAACAAATGGGTTTTTGTTATCACTTGCTACGATACGAAAAACAACTCAAAGTAACAGCTTATTCAGTGGTCACCTAACTAATTACCTCCTTTATGAATCTGGTGGTGCTATGGCTCGAATTGCACGGTGGTACGGCAACTGTACGTGCACTTCTTCGGCTACATGCATTAGTCAATCTCCAATGTATGATTTAGCCAACGATACGATATTATTCTCTGTGCCAGGTCTTTATACGGGATGTTATATAATTGAATCACTACTTCAGTCTGATCTTCAATGTTTTTATAATCAAACCTGCATCAATAAACTACAATCATATTTGGGATCGTCTACACTTATGAATGTGACAGCTCTTGATATATCACTGTCAATCCAGTATTTGGAAAACTCAACAATTGCAGATGTTCTTGATCAGTTGATGGTTGAAGAATGGAAGAATTCAAGTATATATGAGAATTATTACAATGAATGTCAACCATCAAGATGTACTTATACTGTTCCGGCGAAGAATAGTGCAATATATATTGTTACGACTCTGATCGGATTAGTTGGTGGTTTAATTACAGTATTTAAACTGATGGTGCCATATTTGATTGAGTGTATTATGTTTTGTATTAAAAAATGCAAACATAGATCTGCCACAATAATACCTGTGGGTCAAACATAACTGGTTTGTATTTGACAGCAAATGAAAAATTTTGCTGTTCGAAGAAAAAACTGAAACTATAATGGATATCATGCTCTTTTTTCTTTCTATTGTCTTCGTATTTCGTGATCTTTATTACTTATTTTCGCATTATTCAGCTTCTGCTTTTTGCTCGTTTGATCATCTTTTTCATTGTTATCATTTTATTATCTGTCTAGTTGCTTCAATTTCTCTTTCTGCCACCGCCTAACCATTGTTCAGCTTCGCATTTGTTCGTATGGAATATATAGTGTAGATTTCTTTCGAATAAAAAGATTATCACACACCAATCTTTATTTATCTATCGACTTAGTCACTTTCAGTGCTTCCGACTTCTTATGAGGAGACGATTTGGGATGCGGATGTGAGTACCAATATTTTGATGGAGTTACCTATTATACCACATATGAAGAGTGCTAAACAACCATACATTAAAATGGCTTCAGCTATAAAATTAAGATAAGCTGTTTCATTAACTAAATTGTCCATTTTATTTCAATATATTGAAATAATATCAATAATATCTTTGTTTCTTTGAATAAAATGATCTCTTCGTTGATCATCTCATTTTATATGATAAAGACAAAATCATACACTGTTAAAATCATGAAAAAATATAATAAATTTAGAAAAAGAAATGCTTAAATGAGATGTGACAGTTTTCTGCATGATGTATAAACATCATTTTATTCCATATCATAATACATTCTTAATTAATTCTGACATTGTACTTTTATCAGCAACTAACTTACTTACTCATACATGATTATTGAGAGTTTAAGTTTTAATATTGTTTTATTTTCAAGTACATCAGAAGAATAAAAAGTAATATGATATCCACGCTTTATTTGCATTTTTTCTGCTTAAAAAATATCGCATCAAAGGTTGTGAGATAATAATCACATTGACACCCACACTCTCAAGATTCAACAATAGCCCTTCGTCCCGTGATTTCTGAAACGAGTAAAACAAAAATATATTCGTCTTGATACGGATCGTACCATTTATTGCTTAAGCTCATATTATTGTAATATGATCTTTTGTTTTTTTTTGAAATTGCCGGTTCGAATTTCTATGGGTATTAGACTTGGGAACTAAAGTAATAGAAAATAATTAACTCCCGTTCTATAAATGTGTTTGAATATTTCATAAGGACAGGATTGAGAAAAGGATGCATTTGGTAATATCTTTCATAGCATACTTATGTTGTTTTACATGTAACTCATATGGAGAATATGTGAGAAAAGGTAAGGAAAATTATACAAAAATTAGAGTTTCTTATTTATTCAAACTGTTTCCACCTGCAGTTTCTGTTATGTTTCGTTTATGTTACTTGACTTCTTTTAAAGAAAGTTGATTGATTGATTAGTACCACTATTGACTTTGCTCGAAACTGTTCTGTAGAAAAATATGAGCAACCGTTGACAAAAGAAAAGGTTGAACTGAAACGAAGTGTCTGATCTACGTCTGTATAGTTATCACATTGTTTGATTTTGATTAATTTGTTACAATTTTGTAAGATTGTCAGGAAACAAAATAGAAAATGAAACTGTAACGCAATCGATGTAAGTTAAATTAAGTCACTAATTTTGATTTATTTTGTTTAGATGACACCGCTGGAACACAGAAGCAAATGGAAAAATTGAATAGAGGTTTAGTGGCTGTGCGAATAAGTAGTAGCCAAGTCTACATAAGTTGGCGTTTGTTTGGTACTGATCCATCAACAATTGCCTTTGTTTTATATAGGGGTTCAACGAAAATTACATCAATACCTTTAAGCGATCGTACAAACTTCGTTGATAATACTACTACAAATGATATTTACACAGTTAAGTCCGTTTTGGACGGTGTAGAACAAGTATATTCAGAATCAGCTAGTATCTGGGCGCAACAATACTTGAGTATATCTCTAAAAATCCCCACAGGTGGGACATCACCTGATGGCATTGCCTATACATATAGTGCTAATGATTGTAGTGTTGGTGATCTAGATGGAGATGGAGAATATGAGATAGTACTGAAATGGGATCCATCAAATGCTCATGACAATGCACATTCTGGATATACAGGTAATGTATATTTGGATGCCTACAAACTAAATGGCACACATTTATGGCGTATTGATCTTGGAAAAAATATTCGTGCTGGTGCACATTACACTCAGTTTATAGTATATGATCTAGATGGAGATGGAGAAGCTGAAGTTGCATGTAAAACTGCTGATGGCACCAAAGATGGAACAAATGCTATCATTGGCGATGCAAATGCAGACTATCGAGCATCAAATGGTTATATTCTTTCGGGTGCTGAATTTTTAACTGTATTCAATGGACGAACAGGTAAAGCCATGGCTACAACTGATTATATGCCAGCTCGCGGTTCTGTATCTTCATGGGGTGATAATTATGGAAATCGAGTGGATCGTTTCGTTGCAGCTGTTGCTTATCTAGATGGTACACGACCAAGTTTAATTATGGGAAGAGGATATTATACTAGATTAGTACGAGTAGCATGGGATTGGAGAAATGGAAAACTTACACGTCGCTGGACATTTGATAGTTCATCATCAACACCAGGAAATAATGACTATTTTGGTCAAGGAAATCATCAAATGTCTGTTGGGGATGTTGATGGAGATGGAAAAGATGAAATTTGCAATGGTGCAAGCACTATCGATGATAATAGTACAGGATTATATGCAAATGGAAAGGGACATGGTGATGCTCTCCATATGACGGATATAGATCCCGATAGAGTAGGACAGGAAGTTTGGCAATGCTTTGAGAGTGTAAGCTCTTATGGAACGACTGGATTAGGTTTATTTGATGCTAAAACTGGTCAGACCATATGGGGTGTTCCTGCAACCGGTGATGTTGGCAGAGCTATGGCTGCTGATATAGATCCACGTCACAAGGGTCTGGAAGTGTGGGGAGCAGCTGGTGGATTATATAATTGTAAAGGTACTCAAATTGCGACAAGTAAACCATCTATGAATTTCGGTATATGGTGGGATGGTGACCTTTCACGAGAGCTTTTAGATGGAACAAAGTTGGATAAATGGGACTATACTAAAAATGTATTAAATCGATTAATTAGTTTCTATAATTATGCTGATGCTACTGACAATAACGGAAGTAAGAAAAACCCAGGATTGGTTGCAGATTTGCTTGGTGATTGGCGCGAAGAAGTTATCTTTAGAAGTAGCGATAATACCAGACTATTGTTATTCACCACAATAATTCCCACCAATACCCGTATCTACACACTGATGCACGATCCACAATATCGAGTCGCTGTGGCATGGCAAAATTCTGCTTATAATCAACCGCCTCATCCTGGATTTTATCTAGGAACAGACATGCCTGAACCACCAAAACCAAATATAGTATTGGTTTAAAATTTTTGCACTTCACTAATTCAGTTGTATCTTAATTATTTTGACCTTTTGAGTGTGAAGTGTCTTTGAAAAATAAAAGCTTTACTCGTAATTCGTCTGCTATTAAAATGTAAAACATAATGGGACTGCTGACATTGTAAATTAGGTGTATGTCATGGTCAGTGGCATTTCTATCGTAATGTTTGTAATAAACCTGGTAGATATCGAGCAACACCACATAGTCTTACATCAGGAAATCATCTTATCACACCCATAGGTCACTCGCAATTTTTAATATCTCATCCTTTACGTTTGATTGTTTCTTTTTACTGAGTATGTCTAATCCAATTGATGGAACAATGTCAATTATAGATGATCTAACGATTAATCGAGTAGAAATAAATATTATGAACCTATGCTGCAAAATATGTGACAACACTCATTTAAGTTGTCGGTCGAGATCCAACACAGATTTACAAGCGAATATCAGCCAGAAAAGCTCAAATCCGCTGATAACTTTCATTACGTATATTTTTCTTCGTATATTGGACTACGAAGATTAATTATAAAATATTATTATTTGGAAATACTTGTGAAATGCTCACCCAATTTATGAAACAGATTGAGCTAAATAAACCTGTCAAATACACAGAAACGAAGGATAAATGTTGACATATTGTCAAACATATTGGAAAAAATAACAATAGAAAATATTAAATTCTTGATTATTATAACTCTGATTCATACATCTGTGAGCGTCAGGATGAAATAGCACCGCATTGTATTCAGCTATAGCTAATGGTTATGAGAACACTTTAGAATAATAATAAAACAGGTTTGAATCAAAGTTACATATAAACAAAGTATGCATACAATCCCTGATGTGAGTACAACGGCAGTAAAATTAGAATCACAATCAAGAAAACGTCCAACTGAGGAAGTTATCAAATGTGTATCTTCTGTTCTTATTCCTCTTTTGATTGCTGTGTTCACCGTCGTTATTGCAATCATCCAATTCAAAAATGCCGCCGAGACACGTATTCAAGATTTGAAAATTGCAGAAGAACAACGAGAGCAAGAAGATAGAATACAAGAAAAGCGTAGAAATGAAGATCGTTCGATAGCCAAAGATAATCGTGATAAAGATTTTGAAATTGCGAATCGGACACGCGAGCAAGATTTGCAGATTGAAAATGATCGGCGAGTAGAAGATCGTCGAACAGCCGAAGCTAGTCGACAGAAAGATTACGAAATCGCCCGACAACAACGAGAACTAGATTTAGTTCTAGCCGATAATCGCCAAATGGACGTCGTTTTAGCTACCTATTTCAAAGAGATGTCGGACTTATTTCTGTCACCTAACTTCACTCTTGGAGATAATAATATCATGGCAACTGTAATTCGAGCAAAAACACTTACTGCTCTTCGACAAATGGATACAAAACGAAAAGCTTACATTATTCTCTTTCTCTTCGAATCGAAAATGTTGACAAACAATCAACATCCAATTGATTTAAGTGGAGCAGACTTGGACGGACTGGATCTTAGCGTCAGTCCACGCATGCGATACATGAAACAAGCGAGTTTACGAAATATTTCGTTGATGCATATTTCACTTGCCAATGCAACATTTGCCAATCGTGATCTGTCCGACAGCAATTTTAATTTTGCTACTCTATCAAACGTCAATTTTGAAGGTTGTCACATAGAGAGAACATCTTTTCTTAATGCAACACTGCAAAATACTAAGTTTGGTGATGCTTTTGTACGCGATACAGAATTCTCTGGCTCAGATCTAAATGGATCTAATATATCACCAATTCAGATGCGTTACAACTTGCTAATGTTCGATGTTGTTTTACCCTCAGGCTTTCTACAACGTGATCCAAACTTATTGCTGAATGGTGACGCTGAACAAAAAGTGTGTTCGAATGGGACTATAGCTACAATTGAGCTTGAAGGTGGATGGGAACCAGTTCGTACTAAAGGCCTACACCTTGAGAATCCAACACTTTATGAATATTCACCCAATGTATTTCGTCAAACTGGAACAGGAGCATGTTTCTTCTTATTTCTAGCGTTCGTTCATGGTGGCATGACTGTTAAAGTTTATGTTCCAGATCGTCTAAAAAATGTGCAACAAGCCTCATGGCGTGTGCGAGCTCAATGTGGTTTTTTGGGTCATCAACAAGAGAGGACTCACTTTGAACTGAGCCTTGTAGAACGAGGAGATGTTCCTTCCAAGGAACTTATTGTGGGTAAGTGCTTACAACTCATAAAATAGTGAGTTTCAGGAAGAACAGAAAAATAGTTCTATTGAAATTACTCGACGTTTTGGCATGTTTCTTTATTATTATTTTGCTATTTTTTCTCCTCAAATTAAGAAAATTAAAGCTGTTTGTATATATTGCCAATAAAATTTGTTTTTTTTTGGTTTACAAAAGTTTTTGAGAAAATTTCTGTTATAGTGAGGTTTTGGCAATGAAATTCAAACCAAACAATAAACCTATTTCAATATTAGGAGAAAAATTTTGTGAATGTGAATTTTACGAATAAAATCGATGAAAAAGGGAAACATATCGTATCTTTATAGTCTATTTTCTAACTCCTATTTTAATTTTCAGACAATGTTACTACACTGAGCTCTGAAATAGGCGTAAGAATGCCATTTAACTCCAAAGCAACTTATGTGGATTTGACTATTGAATTCAAACGTGACGCAAATGTAAAGATTAATGATTCATTTATCGGCTATTGTGATAACATTTATCTAGCTCTTGATCGATCATTTTGGTTTCCCATTGTCGATCCATGGGAAGTAGCATACTTAGAGTACGGATAATCGCTTTTTTACGGACATCTTGAGGGTGTGAATATGACCATTATCTCATATTCTCACCATCACCCATATCCACTTCTCAAGCTTAGAACATTTTAAATGTATTCTATTATTTAAACTAATTGTAGCTGTATGTAAACATCATACATCTTCTTTTTTCTTTATTGTCATTTATCAATCTACTTGAATACATTCTTTACTTTATATTCAAGTAACCTTTTGTTGGCAGTCTTTTTGACCATTTTAAAATACTATAGTCATTGCATTCTCTATATAAGCCTGAACTCTCTTTTAAATAAATGTAGTTGATTCAAAAAGTTCATTTCGATAAATAAGAAGTTATATACAAGTGAAGTGTTGATTATTATATGAATTTATCAACATGACCACATATTAACGTAACGTAAATTAGCAGCGGATTTGAATATTTCTTGCTAATATTTTCTCATGGAACTGTTCCAGTTGGACGTGTTGGATGCTGAACTTAACTATGAATCGAATAGTATTATTTCCTTAGCAGGATCGTCGAACAAAAAACAACTTTTTTTCTGTGAATTGCTGGCTTTTAGTGTCATATTCATATTATTTGTGTCGATTTCATTGTCATCAGTACTGAAGTTAACTCAGGAAAACAGTTGATAATAATTTTCTTTTGAAAACTACGCTTTTGTATTACCACCTTATAAAATGCTTAGTGCAATCTATCTTAGGTAAATTAGAGAATGTAGATGTGATACAGTGTGAATTAAGGTGAGGAACGGAGTGAGTATATGGGTTGAAAATCTATATTTACACCCAAATCGACGTTTTATTCATTGTATCTTCATTAAAAATCGAGAATGAATCTCAGATAGAATCGATCTTCATCGATTTTATTTGAAAACTGTTTATTAAAAGCGATACATATATAAATAATGAAACAAACAACATCAACAATAAAATAGAATACAACAGAAAAGTGTTTTTCATTAATAAAAAAAATCAAATCTTTCATTCAGTTACGTGCTATTATTCTATTAAGATGATTTGTCATTGACATTGGTTGAATTCGTGCTCTTTGTCGAAAATGACAGATTTTTGAAACCAAGTGAATTAGTTCTTCTCGATAAACTCGAGCTGAAAGAATATAAAGGAAAAATGGTGTAGTATATGATAAATAAAACAAAATTTGAGTAATTGAAAAGCCAAAGAAAAACTCCGATGTTGGGATAAAATCTGATGGAATTATTAACAGTAGATATAAAACACATAATGGTGTATTTAGTAGAATATAAAGAATAACTTGAAGGAAAAGCATTCGAATTAGTTGACCTTCTGTGCGGCGATAACTTCTTGTTACTTGTTGTAGAACTCGCGATCGAGTTGTATTATATATTGTCAGGAAACCAAATATAAGCATCAAGATTGGAGGAACAGCCGCAAATAATAGAGCTTGGATCAAGAGAAGACCTTGATTAAAAATTGATTTAGATCGAATAGTGCATCCATATCCATCATCATATACTTCATATAATACAAGAATATTAATATACCATAATATTGAATAAATAATAACAATCAAAATGAAATATTTGGCAACAACTATGCTACTAAATCTTCGTAATATAGTACTGGTTGAACTTGCACAAAAACGATCAATAGATGCTAAGATTATAGAATATGAAGAGATAAATGGACATACACTTACTATATATTGGATAATTTTACATGATACATTGGACACCATTTGCCCATTGATATTAAATCCATTCGATAAGAAATAGTTAATAACAAAAATTAAATAGATAAGATTGCTCGAGGCAAGAGCTAAGAAATATTTTGAACATGCGTGACTTCGTAGATTAGGTCGATTGAGTATAATTATATTAAGAGAATTTCCAACAATACCAGCTACTATTATGATTGGTAGGACAATTTGAGTAAGTTTAATAGAAATTTCTGTAAGGGATGCTGACATATTTGATCTCTTCAGTAACTTTTACTCAAATACCAATGTATATATATATGTTCCTGATAATAATTTTTGATTTGATTTTCTTTATAATACTAAAATTAAAAATATAACCGTGCTAATTAGTGTAATCTTCTGAAGCCTTTTATATTATAGATAGAATTAGGAAGATGGTGTGATTGATCTATAATCTTATCTGCACTCACTCTGAACATGGAAAAGCTCTTAGTAAACTACCAGATTTTAGCTCATGAGTTGTATCAGATGTTGTCTATGCTGCATTATGTCATTTTAGTTGTGAAGGTAATTCAATATGCCTTTCATCGATTTTAAGAGTTTAAAATACAACTGCTATAGTTATGTTAGTTTCGCAAGCAATGAAAAGTTTTGATAGAGATTTTATGACACTTTTAAATATAATAGATGAGATTCTATTCACCCGTTCGTTCACAACAACTTGATTTAAAGGCTGCTTATAAAGTTAAAAAGTTAATATCAATAATGCATGTGATCGGACAAAATATTAACAAGCTATACTAATCTAGAAAAACTTTTCAACTTGTCGAATGAATATCGTACAAAAATACGAATTAAGTCAGAAAGATGGGAGAATACAACTAAATCATTATTATATGGGTATTCATCTTTTTTGTGAAATACGATCTATAAAGGATATTGAAGGATATACTGACAGAAACTTTCATTCACTCATTCCTGCATACACAAAGTATTGAGATCATCAAAGACAACGATACACTGTGACTAAGAGCTCTTTGCCGAATCCGAAGTAGTATAAACAGTTCTTTCATGTCTAATAACAATGCATTTTACAAAGAAATATGTTCTCTCTTGACTTGTATACATAAAGACGCACTACAATCTTTTAATTAAATTCAAATAATAATTATCTTCATTCATATACCTTAATTACATATAAATATGACTTTACTTATCTACGTTTATAGTCATCAGATACATCTATATAGAGTTAATAGGTGAAAAAAGAACTGTATTAACAGTCATTTATATTTATGAGATAAATCTAAATTAAAAACCAACAAAATCATACTTGCCATCATTTCTATCCACTAAACAAGTGTAAATGAAAAAAGGAGCATTTTATTTAGATAAAATCTACTTATTATCATCCATGCATACTCATTAAATAAATCTAAATAAAGAAGATGAATAAATGATAAAAGTAAAATTATAATGATCTTCATTCATATTCATCAAATAATTTCAAATAAAAACAAAAAGGAAAATTATTTTTTTATAGAAAATTAGACTGACGTCAGATAATATCTGCTAAATATATCTAAATAAAAAAAGATATAATTGAAATAAAATTTTATATATAATTGTTTATTCACACCCATTATATAAATTCAATATATGAAAGAAATAAATGGTAAAAATGAAATTATACTCCGGATTAGATGTACAAAATTAATGTGAATAAATGAAATGAATACGTATATGATTAAAGTAAACTTATCCATACTGTCAATTTCATCCATGAATTAAATTTAATTCAAATAAATTATAATTTTATATCAAATGTATGATTTGGCTTCTATTTCCATTCGGTACAATAAATCTGAGCAAAAATATAAATGTTAATTAGCTTTAAATAATATCTACTTTGGTCTCCAACATAGGAGAAATATAAATAGAATGCAAAATAATTTTTCTTTCCATAAATGTATGATTAGATTGATATTTCGTGGAAGAAATAAATGACAACGAATTGTAAAAATGGTATGAATGTTACTGGACAGAGTGACTGTTTTATGTGATCTTGATATAAAATTAAAATAAAACTTGATGAATAAACATAATCTTCGATGTCTAAATCCAAGCTGCTATTAATAACTAATTTTTTCGGTTTTCTACGCTAAATGTGAAAGGTGAAGAAAAATCTGATGGCACGAATTATTCTCGTAATAGAAAATGACTACTTTTTTTGCTGAAATAGACTACTTTATATGTTTCATCGTAGTTTCATATGATTTCCTTTGCATAATAATACATTTATTTCACATATTCCATCATTCATATAGAATACAATTTTTCATCATAATTATTATACAAAATGAAAATAAACTAAAAAAAGAGATTTTTATTCGAGTATTGAGCCATCCACATGAAATTAAATATGTACAGTTCTATACTTTCCTCTCCTGCAAAACATACAGAATAAAAACTCCCCTTAGTTTCTTCATTTCAATCATATTCTCTATAAATTAACAAATTATTTTGAATAAGTGAAGAAAATATAAAGATTTCTCTGTGAATCAAAACAACAACGTTAACAACTCAAAAGATGAAATAAGACAAGCTAATAGAACTTGGATTGTTGCCTTGATAAATTGCATGGTATATCTATATGTTGTTTTAACCAAGAATTTGTTTGCGCACATATTGCCGTGCATTTATGTTATAATTCTTACAGCACATTGGACGATTATGTGTTTTCTGATAGGAACGATCGATATCCATGTTGGAAGTGCCGAGAAATGAAACTATAGTAGCTAGATTTACTGTCATGGTGTTATGGAGACGGTTTTCAAAGTTTATCCAAACGCCACAAGCGTTGTCGTAAGTAAATAGTTTTGGTTTTATTAATAAACCATTAATTTTTGTCAACATATTTGTTCAGTGTAGTAAAGTTACAAAAACTTGTTCAGATAAACTTGAGGGTGTGGGTGTTTCTCTTCTCTTAGCGCATATCCACATCTAAGCTTAAATGCATAAAAACTTTTGACGAAAAGATTTGATATAGGCTCAACTTATCGCAGCTTAGTTATGATACTTAAATAAGCTTAGATTAAATTTTAGCATTTGGCATAAAAATAAGTGAAATAACATGATTTTTTTAATCAATTTTGAAAATAATGTTTTCGAATACAATAAAAATATTTCTTAGAGTAAAGTGTGCGAATAGTGACAATCTCATATTTTCATTCAAACTGAGGATTTCAATATAGATGTTTCAATCATCCCTCACTCATATCCACCACACTCAAGTTTTTACCGGAGATATTGTGTGTCAGAATACTATTCTTAGTATTCATCGCACCATCGACCTTGATTAGTATTGAAATCATGTTTCAAATAACGTCTCATAAGTTGCGCTTCCTCTTTTAAGGACATCGAATCTGTAAAATTCTTAAATGTTCGTTCCATAGAAAATACTACTGTATCAATAATTGTTGCTTCAAATAGAGGATCTGTCAGTGATTGTTTACTTTTATAATGGTTTGTTTCGAATTTCAGTTTCAGCATATTGCATTTAGCTTGCTTAGTGCTCAACTCAATACGTGATAAGTTGGGTAATGACGATTGTTTTGTGGTTGAAAATTGAAACAGCGAGTGATTCGATAGGTTGAGCATCGAGGTTCGTGTTGAAGGTGCCTGTTGAAATAACGATTTTGGCTCATTCGGCGAAGAAAATGGTTCTTCTCGCATAGCTTCTAAAAAATCGCAATCGCTTTGTTCTTCTCGCATAGCTTCTAGAAAAGCGCAATCGCTTGGATCTTTTCCCCAGTTCATTTCGTGCAGAGTGAGCTGACCTGTACTCATACTTAGTGGTAATGAACGTCTGCGCAATCCTGTTGAATATCTTCTTTCGAAATGATTATTGACCACGTCCTGTAACGATGTAGTTTTAACAAAGTCAGAATTTCGATTCGTCGACAGTAAATTTGATCTAACATTTTCATGGAAAGTAGGCTCGTCAACAGTTGACGAAGATCCAAATTTTACGCATCTTATTGTACGATGACGAGACTTGGTATATGTCAGATGTTTAATATCATGATTATGTTGTTCACAAAGATGGACAACTATAGTCCACAATCCAGTATCCATATCGTGATCTATAGATTTGAGTTGAAAGATGGTACCTACAGATACAAGAACTTCGTATTCATTTGGGATTGCGCTTTGAGGAGCAATATATGCGTATGGACGAGTATTTTCATACGTTGTATTGAGATGGAATTCAAAAATGGCAGAGACAACGTTTTTTCTGGCTGCTGTTAGTGCATAACCACTTGCCATTTGCTGATCAATAGTGGTAGAAATAAAACTTGCAAATGTGACAAGTTCTCCGACATTTTTCTGAAGAGATATCAGTTCAGGTTCAGTCAAACCTTGACCACGATAAACAATAAAATCTTCTTCGTCCAGATCGATATACTGACGATGAATAGATGAAAGCTCCGAGTAAAGTTCATTGATGAAGAAACGATAGGGATGAATAAGATCTGGGTCACCCGTTCGGAGAGCTTGATTTACAAGTCGATACACGAACGAATCTCCTAAGAACAGAAATCAAGTAGAGTAAATTCAATAAATATTATATTACTATAAATCTGAGTTTTTTAAGTTAATAAACTTATTGTACATAGTATTTAAATCTCTTGGATCGGAATTTTTATGAGTAATATAAACTTGTAAATTTTTCCCCTGCTCGCACAGGGAGGGCACTTTCTTTCTATATATTAATGGGCTTTATTAGGGAAGATACTATAATGAAAAACACTCAGCCATTTTTTCATTAACGGTACTTGTTATCCGCTCTCTCAAACAAAATCAATTATCTTTTTCTAGAATTCTTCAAACCAAAATCATATCAATCTTTTCGGATGCATTCTGATTAGGATGATAGTTTTTACTTTATTAAGATCATTTACTGCAGTTTCCACGATGAGTTTCACACATTTTACGACCTAAAGTCAGTCCAGATGCGATGAAACTTTATGATTTCATCAGTTCAAAGCGATCTTTAGGTAGCTTCAAAGTCGGAAAAATCTATTTTTGTATTGGCAAAAATAGTTGTAATCAAATCAGAAAATTGCATCATTCGAATGACATTTACCAGAAAGTTCTATTCAGATAATGTAACATTCAGTAGAAACAAAAATTCGTCATTTTGGGTTGGATAGGCTCTAATTGGTACCTCATCAGTTTTAAATCGTTTCTATATTGTTGGTAATAGTATATACTCTTTTCATCTGTTACTATGAGATTATTGTGTCTTTATCAGAAAAAAATGTAACAAGCATTATGCTTACGTGTATACCAATATATCGTTTTCCTCATATTTACATCTGGTTCATTAGTGTATTCTTTGTCAAATTCATCGATTCTGTTCAGCTCCTTTTGATTATGTTTATACACAAGTCGACATTTATTCAACATTTCTTCTTTCATTCTTATACGATCACCAATGTCTGTGTATAACGCCATGTAAAGATCTATATGAGACATAAGAGAGACAAAGGGTGCATATTTGTCACTAAGACGACGCATTGATCTTTCGATTGGACGAATTGGACTTGTCGTGTCACTACGAACGTCATTGCGTATCTCTAAGACAAGACGTTTGATATTTTTATATGAGTCTATACGGTAAATGGCCTTGACGTTTGGACATTCAAAGACTTCATCATCACGTTCCACAACCAAATAAATAGTCAGTTTTGTTCGATCAATTGATGCAATATAATCAAGACACATTTTACGTTCATCGTATATTTCGAGAGAGTCAAATGCAGAGCGAAGATATATTTCTAGCTCAGTATTTAGTGAAGAACGTAGCCATATTATTTCATAGGGTATTTGAAAAGGTTCATCGAATAATATCTTCTTGGCGTCATGTTGACATTTTATATCAATAAAATCTTCAACCAGTGAGTGAACAAAGTTGGGAGCAGACCATTGCGATCCATGACCGTGTACATGATATTCGTATGTGAAGCGACGAAGTTGTTGGGCTAACATTGAATCTGGATCTGCTAGCGGAGACATTGAACCGAACGGCTGTGAAAAGAAAATGATTGCATGTATTTGAATTATATATATCAAACGGAATAAAATTGACGTTGGCGAGCAGCGTCTTGAGTGTGTGGGTGTGCGTGTGGGTGAGGGTGTTAGTCTGCTTCTAATATAATCCACACTCACACCCACACCCTCAATTCTGTAATGTTTCAACACACTAGTATTCGTGACATAATAAAACAAATATACTTTCGTTTCTTATTGTTTCTAGATTCAGGAATAACTTGATGTTACTTCCTCAAAAAATAACAAAAGTAATTTAAAAGAGCTATGCTGATAGCTTTGAGCCAGATCACTTGTGTTTTTTAAAAATCATATACAAAATGTAGCCCAAGATTACTTACTTTGCCATCGTAGAAACAGCTTGAAATAAATATTAAATGATCCGAATTGGTATCGAGCTGATGGAGGAAGTCAAGACATGTATCCATAGTAGTGAAGAATTGTGTATTAATGAAAACAAGACGCAATTTTGCTTCAGCATCTTGGCGAGTGTGACTATCAAGAGGTTCTCCATAATGTAACCAAACAATTATGTAATCTGCCGACGCATCAATGCGTTCCAGTGCTAAATGAACATCGTTTTTGCACAAGTTTCCGGTCTGAAAATGTTTTCGAAAGCTGCTTGCTGCACGCTCAAAAGACAATATCTTCAATAATGTCCCTTGATCTGAATCGTCGTCAATGCAGGATAATAAGTCAATCATCGCATCGTGATATTCTTTATCATGCTCCCTCTGTGCCATTTGAACTCGTGTTTGATCACAATAGTGAAAGTAACTTTCTTGTATAGATAACGTCTCACTCTACCGCACGTCTTTCCTTCGAAAAAATTCCGATGGAACCTCTTTTTTTTACAAAATCTATAATTGAATAGAAAATATACTTCATAAATGAAGAAAAGAGCGAGTCAAAAAGAAGAAAGCTTTGTAACTCAACTGAAAAACAAAGAAAATGAACGCAGAAAGGGTCATATATTGTTCTCTCACATTGCGTTTTTTAATAGGTAGACAAAACAGGCAGAAACAAATAATCAAATAATGAAAAAGGTAGAATAGAGTGACTATTGGAATATGATGCCGTTTTCTTCCCACAAAACAAATAAAAACGAAAGAAAAAGACAAAAACGCAGAGTAAGATTTTTCTCATGTTGCAGTATTGTTTTTATTCCTCCAAAATCAAACCTCCTGAAAGTAAAGAATGGATTTGAATAGATAAATAGATTAGTCAATGATCACTTCTTTACATACGAATAAATGTAAGCAAACGCAGACGAAAATAATTGATTGAATTGACATGTATTTTGTGAATAGGTGATGATACTAGCAATTCTTAAATGACCTGTGACCACTCACTTTATACACCTAATTAAAAGGCTAATGTAACGTTGTGTTTTCTCTCCATAGCAGCTACACTCATTATATTCCTAACGATCGGTTACTCATACGAGGCGCAATTCTTTAATTCATTTCTTTTTCTATTTTTTCTCATTGTTTTGTATGATAATGACTGGACGGACGTCATCTTATTGTTGAGAGAATATTATTTTCTAAGCAATTTATTCTCTATTATATGTTTTTTACTTCTAACTTGAGACTGTTTAATACTAATTTTCTCAAAGTAATCAATTTCGGTTTGTCTTTTTCAGTAACATAGAATAAATCGTCAATTTCTTTTTGATGAATTCCAACACAACTGTAACTCACAAGAGCTTTTGTTTTCAGGACAGTATATATGCAGCCTTGTAAAGAAAGTCTTCCTCTCTAGACTAACACATAACGTTGTGAAGTCAACAATTTTCATACAAATTATAGCTCCTGTGATGCTTTCTATTATTCACCTTGTCAATACCATTTCTATATGAATAAATGTTCAAACTATAGATTGAAAAGAATCTCAAATGGATGCTGAACTATTTGTTCTACTACAAGATGAGCTATCATGTACGCATCAGATGAGTGATCTTATGATATAGTCGTTAGAGCAATCATCCTATTCCGCAATGTTAAATATTGTGGAATCAGTTCCTTCCAATTCAGAGAACTTGATAGTCATGGCAAATAAGGCCTATTCAACTTTGATCGGTTCTCGAAAGTCAGGAATCTGTAGGAACCAAATCAATGTTGAAGGAATTGTATGATGATCGAGTTTCTGGCATTGGACGGAACTGATTTCTGCTATATTCAGCATTTTGGAATAGGATGTATTCTCATCTAACTGTCATATTCCCAACTTACATCTTGAAAGAAATTACAAAGTTAGTATAGATATTAGAATTATTCCTGGTACTCACCAGCAATCATACTATCAAGATAGTACTAGAATGTGCGTACCTGTCGTTCGATCTGACGCTAAAGCAACGCCGTTTAAGCAATGATTTTGGCATCCTCTCTATGCGCTTCATGTCGCTGAAGTGAAAGAAAACATTCCTTTTTCTTGCAACTATTTTTGCATCATCATCGAGAAGCACTAATAAACAGCAACAATGCCAATAAAAATATGCAGAACGAAAGCGGTCGTCATGAAAACATTCTATTGCATTCTTGTTTTATGATGAAAAAATCATCGTAATTCACCTTCGTCACATGTCTCCAAGGTAGTAATAATGTATTTAAAAAACTGAAAAAAGAATGTTTGCTAAAACTTAATGGCAAATATTGAAGGGCACATGGATGTGTATATTATATTTACTTCACACCCATACTCTATTACGATACTGCTCGTAAATCTGAACAAATTTGTATCGATTGGAATCATGAAAATGCTTAAATAAGCAATGATATTCACATTCATCATTTAGAACACATTAAGGGTGGGTGGATGTGAGAAGTGTAGGTGTTCAATGGACTCACACCCACCCTTTATTTCATTCTTTTTTCAGTACATTTTTTATCGAAAAATTCTCAATCTTTTATATGTTTTTAAACTATGATGTGGGAGTGGGTATTCTCCTTCATCTGCACTCTCGCATACACACATCCATACTCTCAAGACAAATCCACACTTACACCTACCGTCAATAAGATCAGATAATATCAAATTGGACAGACAATCTTTTATTCATGCAGATCAATTAGATTTTCCAGTAAAGAGTCAAATGAAAAATGAAAGAAATTTAAAATTGGACATTGAAAAAATATGAAAAAGCAAAATATTTCTTACTGGATTGTTTTACATTATGACTTAATCGTTACGTATACTATAAACACTTTTTTCTAACCTTATACATGGAATATTTGAAACTTCAACAGCTTTTAGAAAGAATTTTCGATCACTTACACGAGGCTTACTGATTAAATTTGTTTATTCTACAACGAAATGAAAATGAACATTGAATCGATAATTTTGATTTTGTTACAGAATAGTCAATTGAATCATTAAAGTTTTTCATTGGGCAGTAGAACTAAGCACTAATACCTATCAATTTAAAAAAAATGCAGACTGATATGTATTTTCTGTCTACACAAGGTTGCATGATAGAATCATTGAAGAGTGACATAAATCGTCGCTAATCATGCCCTTACCTCTTCCATCTACATCAGACATGTAGATTCAAGAAATAAAACTTGAATCTTAAAATTTTAACTAGAACTGTTTCGACTTGAGTTACCGTTTAAGTTTCTCACACCAGCATACAACAGTGTGTCGACGAATACTTACCGTGAGGTAAAATAGGTAATTACCGTGTTTTTACACGTTTAAATGATGTTGCATACTTTGCTGTACACGTCATGTCATTTGTTCTGCAACGATTTCTATAAATGTTTTCTTTGTGAGTGATTAATTGACACCTGATGTTTTCATATCATTCTATTTCGCATGTATTGCAGGAAAAAGTGCTATCAGACACGTCCAAAGACGAAATAGTGAGACACCATCTATTTCACAAATTTTTTGAAGTACAGTGAAGTATAAATCAACTACCAGTGAAGTATAATAAAGTAAAGCTCACCTTTATTACTAATGTTATAGTTTTACTAGAGATCATCTTGAGGGTGTGCGTTCCTTGTGTTCATACATAGCCACACTCACACCTTTCAAGCCTGAAATCTAAGGCTTCTCTTCCAGCATGTCTGACATCGAAGAAATGACTTTTGTTAGGCATATAAAAATTTTCTATACTTTTATTCTTTAAATGAAACAATTTCTTATAACATTGAAAATAAGAACCACATTTACTGAGTAAAAAAGATCTGTTCTTATTCAATAACAATTTTAGTTACAATAATTATTATAAAGAAATTATGTTTCAAACAAAGCCAGTAAGCTCTAATTCATCTCAAGATCTTGATTTTTTCTTTTTCTGAAATTCTTTTCCATATTCCACTAAGTAACACCGACATCCTTTTAAAACTACTACATCCCACATTGATTTCAAAAAATCAGTCAGTGTTGGATAGCCCAATTCCACATACGGCATGCTCCGCCTATTAGTCCTTGCTTTGAATCGATCACAAAGTTCAGTAAATGATAGTCCATTCTCTGGATTTTCACAGGAAAGTAGAACCGAACAAATCTCATTTTTAACTGCGTCATAAGTTTGTGATGAACCATTATGAATCTGGAACATATGGAAAGAGTTAATTTTACAATATTTTTGTAGTCATACTCACTTTTCTTAGTCGATTCTCGTCTTGCTCAACTTTCGGAGCTAAATACAATCGCATCGGCGTTTCATCATTCTTCATTCGTATCAAATCTTTCATAGATCTTAGAAATCGTGTAAGTTTTTCAAAACCAAATTCTTCATGAGGAATATGAGCATTTCCATAACAACGTTTGTATTCTTGGCATAATTCTGTTAGAGTAAGACCACCGTCAGTAGAAAGGAGAGGCGAAGACGTCAGTAACTGAACCAGTTTATTTTTCGTTTCTTCATAAAGTTTTTTCTGACTGCTCTCATTCTTTTCTTCTTCATTCGCTTTTGAAATTAAATAACATTTTGCTGGCCACTCTTCGTAGTTCAGTTTTATAACATCTCCCATAGTTTTCAACAGACGTGTTAATGTTTCAAATCCTAATTCTTGGTGAGGAATATTACGATCTTCGTAGCGTTTGGAATATTCACGACACAATTCAGTTAGAGTAAGGCCGCCATCTACTGAATATAGATTGGGTGATATAAACAGCTGGATGATTTCATTTTTAGTTTGTTCGTACAGAGGACTGGTTTGATAAGCCATCTAAAATTAAGGAGTGAAGTATAAACGACATTTTTTACTGATTTAAAAATAGTGAAGAAAAACTACAATCTATGGTTTTCTTCTTTGAAAAGGCAATGAAAACGTAACATGTTTGTGTTTTAGCTTAAATAGAAAATGTCGCCTTCCTTATCAATAGAATATTGTTATTTCAGTAGTCCTTTCGTCCGTCTATGACGCTTATCTGTCTTCTGTTCTGTAATGTTGAGCAAGAGTTGAGGGTGTAGGTGCGAATCAGAATATGGATTTGGCTGTGACTGTAATATAAAATGAATACTCACACTACACCATCAAGATGATTCATGTGAAACTATGACTGACGTATCGCCTGTGCCTCTCAACACTACTGAGGATAAGGGTGCGAGTGAGGGTTATTTTCTCCTCGCTCTCAACCATGCTTTATTTCAACAAGTCGGTTTATTTGGATTTATTCATCGATAGTACATAACATATATTAACTGTAACAAAAGAGAGCCATACTTCAGGAGAGTTGACCTAAGTGTTGCTGTCATTCACGTATATCGAAATTTGTTTTATTATTTTACTATTCACTACTTTCAAAACTTTATCGCGAAATGAGCATTACTTGCATTTAGAATCAGTGTGTTTTGCTAATAATAAAATAGATTTCACTGATCGATATGATAGTCATACTCTACTAACATTTGACAAGATATCTAAAGGAACAGAACTGTACTTTAAGATATTATGTCTTATTAGCAATGACTAAGTTGGATCAACTAATGTAATAAGTGCATTCTATTAAATTTTCCTAAGATATATCTAGAAGAACGATAATTGATCTAATGTCATATGAGGAGAACATCAAACTTAAAGTATTTGGGATCCATATAAGTGGTGATATAATAGATTTGATAAAAGCATTCAGCTTATGTATTATTTGTGAAATAAATTGACAAGAAATGACAAAAAAATAATCCTCACTCTTTTTCATATTTCTTAAAACTTTATAGTAACAAATCCTCTCTATTTAATTAATCAAGACATAAAAATATCTTTATAAAGAAAAAAAAATATGCTGTATTCTTTAGATATAATTTTTTTCATCAACTCGATTAATTTACGAAAGAAACAGTAAACAGAGATATATTTTTCCCGGTCCTAGCAGATTCGAAGAAGAAGTATTATACTGTTCAACCATCGAACATGATATATGATAATTAATATTTATTCTCTTTTTCAATAGTAAAATAGAACTATTTTTAATTATTCAGATTTATCTTAAGAAAAAGTTTTAAAAATGTTCTTAACATTAATATTTAAATTTTCATTATTAATGAAAGAATATAAAAAATTTCTGTATTTTTCAAGCAATGAAGATTTGCTTGTCTATATCTTTTAACATGAAACGAAACAGAAGATAAAAACAATAAGTCAAACAGTAAAATGAGAAATATAGTAGGAAATAAGTTTATAATATTACTTAATGTTGAATAAGTTCTAAAAATTACTTTAAAATATGTCATTATCTGTCTTTAGTTAGTCAATGCATGTTCTTGTTTTAAAATTACGATCATTTTATAAAAAAATTTCGAGTTATTTGTCGTCCGATGGTATTTTAAATCTATGAAATAAAATTAAAATAAATCTGCACTAACATATTTAAAAGAACTTAGTCTTATTGAAGAAAATTAACAAATGAAAATAAAAAATCATTTTCCTTTTCTAACTCATTTTATTACATGATTTTCCTTCTTAATATATATAAGTCTGACTTCAACCTTTGGATATCACGTAAGCTAGAATCGAGAATGAGGAATCAAAAATTTTATTGAGAAACACAATAAGAGACTTTACTATAACACATCTTGCTCTATATTGAAAACAACGTAATATATAAATTAGACCAAAATATAGTTCAGATGATAACGTTTTATTTTTGAAAATAAAATAAAACAACCAGAAATATATTCAGAAGATAAAAAGAAGAGATAATGTATTGACCAGAAAAACAAGAGAAGGGGAAGATAACCAAAAAACAACATTAATATATATTGCATCAGTTGTAACCAAGAGAAAATAGAGAGAAAAACATGAAGGAGGATCAAAATGCGATAGGTATATATGAATGGTAGTAGCGTCAATAAGAGCCATCTGTTGACGTTAACACAATTTATTCTATTATTTCATAATGCATATGTATTTTGCTAGATGTTTTGCGAAAAATGACATTGTTTATTTATATTTTTTGATTATAACTCTCGACTATTAATCAATCATAATATAAAAATAATATTTTTTTATACTGGCAAAAACACGCCAGCTTTAAGGAAGAGAGATAGATAGTTTAGAATTCTAGATCTACATATCAATACGATCGTTATATATAGCTTAGTGCAAAGCGGTTAAAAAGTACGAAAGGTTCTCAAATCGAGAGAGCTGACCCATATGTCTTAACTGTTCAGAAGATCTTGTTAACAGAAAACAATATTTCTTTTTCTTATTCGCGTCATCATGTTAAAACATCTTCATCCTCTAGCATAGATGTGATTAAAACACTTTTCCTACTAACAAACTTGTTTCAGAAATTTCTTTTTTTCCGTTCTTAGTTTAAAGTATTTGCAACCAATTTCTAATAGATAATTTTTATCACTAAAGCATAAACTCGAAGAAAAATAGCGGTAAAACACAAGATTATTAAGTTTTTGCGCCTTATTCTCGATCGTAATTAGCGTGTATTTTATATATAAGTATTTTCCGATCACAAATACAACGTTCGTTTTGATAAAAAATATATTTTCCAGCTCTTCATCTTAACTAACAATTTTATTTATCCCATTCAACTATATTACGATGGACATTTAAGCAGAGATGCACAAGTCCTACTCACTTTTTTTGAATGGCTCGAACTCGACTCGTCTATTTCTGAGATTAAAAAGTTGGCTCTTTCCGTTATATTTGCTAGCATATTAAACGACGTTAGAACCTTTCAAAGAACATTTTCTTCATTGTATCTTCATTAAAAATTGAGAATAAATCTCCAATAGAACCAAAATTCATCGATTCCATTCGAAAACTGTTTATTAAAATCGATACATATATATAAATAATTAAACAAACAACATTAAGCATAAAATAGAATATAATAAAAAAAATCAAATCTTTCATTCAGTTACGAGCTGTTGTTCGGTTAAGCTGATTTGTCATTGACATTGGTTGAATTCGTGCTCTTCGTCGAAGATGACACATTTTTGAAACCAAGTGAATTAGTTCTTCTCGATAAACTCGAGCTGAAAGAATATAAAGAAAAAATGGTGTAGTATATGATAAATGAAAGAATATTTGAGTGACTGTAAATGCAATGAAAAACTGCACTGTTGGAATAAAACTTGATGGAATTATTAACATTAGATATAGAATACATAATGGTGTATTTAGTAGAATATAAAGAATAACTTGAAGGAAAAGTATTCGAATTAGTTGACCTTCTGTACGACGATAACTTTTTGTTACTTGTTGTAAAACTCGTGATCGATTTATATTATATATTGTGAGGAAACCAAAGACAAGCATTAAGATTGGAGGAACAGCTGTGAATAAAAGAACTTGAATTAAGAGAAACACTTGATTAAAAATTGATTTAGATCGACTAGTGCATCCATATCCATCATCACGTAATTCATATAATACAAGACTGTTGATATACAATAATAATGAACAAATAACAACAATCAGTATGAAGTATTTGGCTATAACTATGTTACTAAATCTTCGTAATGTAGCATTCGACGAACTTGCACAAAAACGATCAATAGATGCTAAGATTATAAAATATGGAGAGAGAAATGCACATATATTTCCTGTATATTGAAGAATTTTACATAATGCATTCGACACCATCTGACCATTGATATTAAATCCATTTAATAAAAAAGTACTAATAATAAAAACTGAATAAATAAGGTTGTTCGAGGCGAGAGCTAAGAAATACTTTGAACAAGCATGATTTCGTAGATTAGGTCGATTAAGTATGATTATATTAAGAGTATTTCCAACAATACCGGCTACTATTATCACTGGTAAAACAATTTGAGCGAGTTTAGTAGTAATTTCTGTGAGGGATGCAGACATGTTTCTTCTCTTTGATAATTCTTATTCAAATACCAGCGTATATATATATATGTTCTTGAAAATAATTTTTTTATTTCGTTTTCTTTATAATACTAAAATAGAAAATATAACTATGCTGATTAGTATAATCTTCTTACCAGTTTTTATATTTTAAATATAATTAAAAATAGTCTGTGACAATAATGATGCTTTCACTTTTAGAAAAAAAAACTCGTGCTGATCCTCTATTCTGAGGACGCTCCCTTTAACTCTCATGATGGTACTTAAATACATCAAACATAGATGTAGTGTTCATCTTGATAGAGATTTGCATTCAATTAACAAATGTAATCTTATTAAAAAAAGCTAATTCTCGTCTGAACTTTATCTGGAAGATATTCAAATTATGAGAGGAGGTGTTGTACGTATAGATGAGTAGGTTAGCCATGATAAATACACTCATTCATCTCTCACAATTACATTTTGAGAGCTGAGTTGTGGAGAAAGAATATTTTTTTGCGACGGTATTAATGTTGCTCGCCTACCTTCTATAATGATGAATAATTAACTAACAACTATTTTATTAAGTCCTTAAGATAAAAAATGTCATATGAAAAATGTTATTTTCTTTTCAACAGAAACGTACCTTCTCATAGAAAGAAAAAAGAGCTCAAAGTGCAAAGCTATAAAAAGACATTGAAACTAATAGTACTAAGTAAGATAAAGTATGAATCTTTCTTTAAAATGACAAGGCCTTGATGAGAGATTTAGTCTGAGTGCCATTTTTTCGGTTGAACTCTACATCAAATTTCCTTTAGGCGATTCAATGATTAGTGAAACACTGTATTCAAAGATAAGTAAAATCTTTCTGAATCCAAAAATCTAAAGGGTAATCAGGATTGAGTTGGCAGGATGTGACTACAAACAGATTATATTTAAAGTACGTTTTTTCAAGTTCATCGGAACTCTTTTATTTTTATTTCTTTTTTTAGAGTGAATCCTGCATTTACATGTTGCCTTTACTTGTAAGGAAAGACAAAGAATAAATGACGTACATCAAATGCCTTGACGAACCGTTAATAAAATGTTGTTCACAAAAATATGAGAACTATTTACCTACAAACTTCAATATATTTTTATTTGGCTTACTGGCTAAGAGCAAATTAAGTATTTTTCAATAAATCAGAGTGCAGTCGTTTACATGAGAGAGATTAAAATTAAGTGAGACGTGGGTGTGGATCAGACTATAGATCAATCACACCCTCATAAATTTGATATAAAATGCAAGTTTATTATTTGATGAACAATCTCCAAGTGATATATTTACAATGGATTTAATGGAACCAAATATTGCACTAATACATGACAGAATTGATTTTGTTGTTAATAATTTATCTGTAGAAAACATTATGCATGAGAATTAGGATTGAGAATTGATATACAAGTGATTTATATGTAATATATAGTTTATCCTCAACTAAAATTCTTACTTTGCTTCGGACAAAAGAAATGAGCTCGAAACTTTGAGTTTACTTACATGTTGAACTCACTTCTTTCGACCTATTCCTTTACATAAAATTGAATTTATCTGTTTTTTAGGTTATGAAGCTTGTTTCCTGGTGATCCACAAAAAACGACATAGTTATACACTATCTGATTCAACAGATCAAACATGTATTATGTATTATAGCCAAGTTCTTTTAGGAAAATCAACAATAATAAACACAACTAATTTAACCTTAGTTTCAACACCAGTAGATTTTCACTCTAATATTGAAAAACATAATACACAATCTACGGGATATTGTATTTGATATGAAATAAAAATAAGTCTTTTAAAGATTTCTGTTTCGAGAATAGTAAAAAAATTTTCTTTAATTATATGTTATTATTTTTATTAAATAAAAAGAGAAACTTTACAGATTGATAGAATCAAATTCAAAAAAAATTATTACAATCGCTGGTTGTTTAAACAACGTCTGACACTTTTATACGCAGACAAAGAACTGCTAGTTGCATAAACTATCGTATGAGTATAGATGAGGATGAAATGAGTTTAATACAACGGCATTTTCATACTATCAGCTACGCTAAAAGACATATATTTGCCTACATGCTCAAAATCAATTATGTAGATAGTGTTCTCATACTTATATTAGCATTTATTTTATTCTAAAAATAATTGTGAAATCAGTTTTAGATAAGCAAAACTCATCAATTAAATATATTTCATAGGTAGTAATTATATAACACTGCTGAATGTCGATGTTTTTTGAAGGGTGATAAGATGTACGAATCTGATGTGAACGTGTTTGAACAATTGTAGTTTAGCTTTCCTGTTAGCTCAAGTTCGAGAAATAGTTCTAATATGAAGTACTAATCCTGTACATAATATCTTCGATGTATTCAATTAGAAATTCATCAAAAAGCCGAGTAAAATCAATGGATATGACGATCTCGTTGTCATCGTTTGAATGTTTTTATTTTCTAACCTATTCTCAAATTCAAAATGTGAATAGGAAATTGATTGATCCGGTAGAATTAGTAAACTACCCGATGATAATGAAGAAAATGGTATGAAAAGTATTTAAGTATAAACAGAAGAATTGAGAAGTTGCTGAAAACGGCCATTAAGTTTTTCTCATAAGTAACAAGTTAAATCGAATATTTTGCATAAAAGAATTCATTTGGTCAACTTTTTTGATACAAACAATCAATCGATCAAGTTCATGTATTTTAATGAAAATAGAAGCACGTTTCTATAATGCTGTATGATTACTTTACTTTGTTTTTTATTCGAACACCTAACGAAAGAAAAGAAAAGAAGTAAGTCAATATCATTTATCATATTCTCCATGCGACTAAAATCTATTAAATCACATAAAAATAACAAAGTATTACAATGCTATATTATATTATTGTCGTTTCACGATGATTTAATTTTTATTTCGTATATAAAAAGAAAAGCATATTCTGACAAACTACCATTAATACTCATCAGATTATTTTAGAACCTTCAAAGGATGAAATTATATTTGTGTTTAATATCATTTATTTTGTGTTATTACACTGTAAAATGTGTACAACCATATTTTCCTTCTCAAATTGTATTTTCTCCTGATAATGGTGTAACAATTATTGCAGTTGATGAAATCAATCAACGAGCTTATAAAGCAATTACTATGAGTTCATATGCAAAAGAAATCTCATACTTGATGAAGAATTTTCCAGGTGCAATTCCTGATTCTCCTCAATCAAAATATTATGTTCAATTATTAGTCGATTCTCCACCTGAGAATTGTATCTATGGTACCTATTGGAAATATGGGGGAAATACATTTAATTCATTTCCTTCACATTGGACTAATGGAACGTCATATGAAATAACAAATTATATTAAATTTAATTATGAAATGATACATTCAGATAATTCATCTGTAGATGAAGATTATTGGTATGCAAATGAAAAATGTCAAGTTGATGGCGGAGAATCTTATCCATGTGAAGAAATTTATTTTAAGAAAAATACTGAAATGCCTCTTCGATCAACACGAGTTGCTCGTGGAGGATGGAGTGTTTTTCAAATGATAACATATTATAAAGTGATATCAATGGAAAAACCAGCAGATAAATTATTTGATTCAATTCCAGCTGGTTGGCCTATCGCTTGTCAAGATGTGATGCTTGGACTTCTCTATTATCCACAAACATCAAAAGTTGATCTAGGCCAAAGTGTAGAAGTTCAAGTTTGGCTTATAACTCCTCCACATAGAATAAATGGAAATGATACTGTTAGTATTCAATGGAAATCAAGTGAATGTAACGATTGTTTGACATGGACACCAAAACAACTATCGTTTAATATTGAAAATTTTCAAGAACGACAAACGGTAACAATAACTCGTATCAAAAATGGTGCTGAAACAACTCTAACCCCAACTTTTACTGGTGGAGGGTTTGATCTTGTTACACCGTATAATTATCGCATCTTTATTAAATAAACTTGTTTCAACTTTTTTTCAGCTCTATAAAATAATTGTAATCTTGAGGGTGGGTGAGGGTGTGGATGTGGATGTGACAGTTGTTCTTGTCACCCACCCACACTCTCAAGATATCGATTAACAAACTAAGTAATATTAAGCACAATGAAACTTTGATATTTGTGTTTTCTGTTGTAAGGACAACATTGATTGCACTCGTAAGTAAAACTATTGCGATGGTTGCTTTTACGTATGTAAAAAAAATCTATCTCTTGTAATAAACAATACTTATCAATAAAAGTAAAATAATCTTTCTTTTAAAAATACGCATTGTGGGTATATTTGTCAGCTGCTAGTTAATCGTATAAAAAGTGAAGTACGTGAAAATATTTATACACTTTGGTTCTATCGTTTACTTTTATTACTAGGAATGACTTTACTCAATCTTGTTCTCATTTTATGTGCTGGAGTAACATCTGCATTAGTTGCTGACTCTTTGTCTGAACCAAGTTCACGTATGTGTATGATCTATTGTCAATACGGTTTCCAGCGTGATGCTAATGGACAATCGATGTGCGTATGCAAAAAAAGTCCATGTGAGGGAGAAGAAACCCCACTGGAAGGTTATTTTTGTGGACGTAGCATCAATCGTCGTGAATGCCCATCAACACATGAGTGTATAATAGCACGAAACGATGCTTATGCTGTCTGTTGTCCTCGTGCTCAAGAACTACCAATAAGTAGTACGACCAAATTAGGTACTTGCCCATCAACAGCATCAGGCATGATGGGCATTTGTATTGCTCGATGTACTGATGATAGTAATTGTCCAGGTGACCAAAAATGTTGTGGTGGGTGTCCTCGACAATGTACGAAGCCTATCTTTGCATGATCAATGAATGATTAATTTTGTGTCAGTGTGCATAGAATTATTATAAAAATAAATAAAAAGACTATAATATTATCATCCGTACCGAATCAGATTTATCGATGATTCTATTTCTTGTTGCTTTGTAGAAGAAGGATCTTTAAGAATAATATATATGGCTAGTTCACTAAAATATATTGTGCACTCTTCACAATAGAATATCATGAATCAGTATAGGTACGAATATTTTAATTATCTCAAATCTAAATTTATCAATGTTCTTAAATATCAAGTGAAAACTGCTCATTGAAGTGTTAAATTAGATCTGTAGATGTCTTTGAAGATTGAAGGATTTTTCTTATTTTATTGGAAGATCTGTAAATTATTAACTCCAACGTCAAGTTCTTATTGAATGATATTTCCCTCACCGAAATCTTTATTTTCTCTGCTTCCACCGTTTTCTTAATTGATAAACAAAGAAAAAGTGAAATATTAACTTGATGTTGAATACATCAACACAATAACAGCTTCGCGAAGCTAAAACTTTTTCAATGTTTGAGAAATAAAAACGAAAAAAATCTCATCTCTTCTATATCCAAATTGGTTTTTTTTCGATTAGATTTCGATTTAATAAATCTTGTTTATGAAAAAGTCTCTTATTCTTAATTTAAAATATCATTGAAATGGAAAAGATTGTTTTGGTTAAAAAATTAGAAATATCTAACGAATATCTTCAAATAAGTAATAACTGGTTTTTGTTTCTTCTGTTTTATTTATAGAACTATTGATTATCATTACCGTCTGCATCCTGTCTCTTTTTAGATGTTATTTTTAAAGAGAGTAAACAACAGAGAAAGACGTAGCTTGAAACTTTCCGACTGATTGAATTTAATTTCATACTAATAAAAATACATGAACTCGATGAACAGTTCGATTATTGATAAGTTGAATTTCAATGAACAAATTCTAAAGCACAAATGTTGAGTGATCTTAAATTTAATATTTCGAAAATTAAAGAATTTGTCTTTCAATTGACAATGTTATCTGATATTCATTATTTTCAAAATTAATATACTGAAGTGAAGAGAAAAGAAACGACATGCTTCATCATAGAAAGACAGAGAGAAAGAAAGAATAGAAAGGAATGCCAAATCCAAATTTTAGAAAAAAAATAGCAATTCTTTTTCTTAATGAAAACCTGTCGAGTCAGTTCCAAACGAATTCAATATCGGATTCATTTATTTGAGTACGAATCCTTGGCATATTGCTCATGTTTATCAGACTTACGATCACTATAAATCAGTATTCACTTCTTATTTAAAAAAAGTATCAAATGAGTTTCATTAAACAACAATGGAATTTGTTTGTATCTATTGAGACACAATATTTTATTTGAATAAACAAAAACAACAATAAGAAGTGAAAAGAGTGACAATAATGAGATAATAATACGAATTCAAAGAAATGTTCTCTCTCAACTCCACTCCTGGTTTTAGTATGAGAATCAGTCTATTCATGGCGTAGGTCTTGCTATCGGGGTAACATCGACTACCTGCCGTGGCGGTCTTAACATCATACAATATAGTTTCTTTTTGATTTGTTTGCGTAAAACTGGAAACTGACATAATGATACGAATGGAAAGAGAAGAATAACCGAATAACTCAGAAAATAGAACCAGAGTTTTGGTTCAGTGCTGCTTTCCCAGGACCAACCACAGTACTGAGCAATATATATGATATATAATGGTAAATTTAAACAAATATTGACACCTGAAATTAAGACTAACTGAATGATCATTCGCCGTTGTTTCCGCCATTGTGGCGATAAACGAAGACGTCTTTTTTGCCACTGAACACGCACAAGAAGGCTAGTACTAATAATACTTTCTAAGATAACTGGAACACAATAGTTAAAAACCGTTTCCCACGTATTAAGAAATTGATATGATTCAAGACACGGATAAATACCACAGTATAGAGCAGAATAATCATAGACATACTCACAAGGTAAAATGAAAATACCAATAATATAAAAGAGAATAACATAAGTTACGATGATAATCAAAGGTAAGTAATGGAAAAAAAATCGTCCTCGCTTATTGGCTACCCATCGATCATGGAAGATTAAAATATGTCGTTCAATGGCTAGCCAAGTCAATAGATTAATGCCTAAGGCATAAAAGCCATTATCTGCCAACATCCAGAGAAGACATACGATGGGTGCCGATGGTCTTACAACACTATTACGAAGAACAAATAGATATAAACTAACATCCAATAATTGAACGGGTAAGTTAAAGATTAATAAGAGAAAAATAGTATGACTATACAATGCACGGCGTTGAGTTCGATCAATTATAATATGAATAATTATACAAAAACTACAGATAAGTGAAGGTATATCAAAGAAAAGTATAAGCCAGAAACGGATTGATCGTGGTAATGAAATTTCTGGAGGGATATACGAATCTTCAATACTCTCTGAACTGTCGTTAGTTGACATTACTGACTGTGTAAACAATACTTGATTACGAATGAGTTAAATACGATGAGTATTTCAGATGAAAAACAAAATAGAAGAATGATATCAAACAACACCTTTCTTTTATATTTTTCACGAGAAGGATGTTCTATAACTACATAGTATATAAACAACTATGTAATCTAAACGATAATGAATGGTACCTTCATTTCCGTCTCGAATATTTATCTGCTTAATGAAATGGCAGATAGTGATGACGTCTGTATTTTTCTTACTATTCATGGAATATACTAATTATAATTACTAATGTCTAATGGAAGACATACCATAAGCAATCAGTCTAGGCATCAACAATCTTTTTTTTTTTCTTTTTTACTGAACAAACTACGTCTACAACAGTATCTTTTATGTATTTGTTGTATGAAAGTCTAAAATTAGAAGATCCATGTGCAGTTCATCTAATTCAATTTGATCATATTTATTTCTTTGCTTTTATTCCGAAAATGAAGAATCGAACGTTACGACCTCCGTTCCACTAATATAATCATATTCTTCTTCTAAAATAGAATGATCAAGAATTAATCAAGTAAAAAATATACTTTTATTAAATATCTACTGTTCTATATATTAATACTATTGGCCTAAAATAAATAGCAGACAACACCGACGCCCTAGGCATACATCCACCCACACCCACACCCACACCCACACAAGTAAATAGCACGAGAAATAAAGAAAATACATATAGAATTATTGAATATATAAATGTTTTTTGCAGTTTGAGGATGTGGGTGTGGATGAGAAATGATTGTAACAACTCACACACACATTCTCTAAGATTATACTATAGTAAGTAAATCATAGTTTTATCCCTTGTACCCAAATTCCAGTAATATTTCTATCGTCTCCTGCATTAATCCATTTCTCAAATATAATATCCATTTCATCGTCTTTCCAATAATCAAATGCTTGATCCTCCCTGTTACAGTCGATAAGTAATGCATCAAATTGCTTTCCCACTTCAAAACTTCCAATTTGTGAATTAATATTCAAACTATGTGCACCTCCAAGAGTAGCCAAATAGAAAGCAAATTTAAAATCAATAACAGGATCTTTATGTTCAGGAAAAATCGGTAATATAGCATTTGAACGATCAAACGAGACAAAATCCATTGTTCTATGTCCAAAAACTGCAGCTCGAACGACAGGAAGCATGTTACTTGAATATGCTCCTCCAACATCCGTTCCTAAACCGACGGTCAATCCTTTTCCAATAAGATGTTCTATTGCCGTAATTCCTTTGGAAAAAAGAAAGTTTGAAATCGGACAACTGGCTACTGCACTTCCGCTAGTAACCATTTCATCGATCTCGTTATCTGCCAAATAGATGCCATGAGCAAAAACTGCTTTGTTCGTTAAAAGACCTGTTTCACGAAATATGGCTACATCACGTCCGTTCCCAATATCTGGATAAAGACAATGTACGAAAGCAACCTGATCTGATGTCTCCGCAATGTGAGATTGGATATGAACATCATATTTCTTCGCTAATTGTCCTAGTCGAGAAAGTAAATTTATCGAACAGGTCGGTATAAATCTAGGAGTAATGACAGGGTGTATCAAAGCATTCGTTCCAGCTATGTTTCTTCCTTTTTGCATATCATGAACATAATTGATGAATTCTTCTGTATTTCGAACACTTTCATCTGTCGTTTCAATATAAAAATCTGGTGAGTTTTGATCTGCGCATACTTTGCCGATGTATGCTCTCTGTCCTTTTTCTTGACAGATTTCAGCTAGAATTTTTGTTGCTTCAAGATGTATCGTCGCAAAATATTGAACTGTTGTCGTACCATTGCGTAATAATCTAGTGACCAGTTTTGTATAAAGATCACGTGCATACGAAGTATCAGAACATCGAGCTTCGTTTGGAAAAATAAATTTCTGAAGCCATTTAAGAAGAGGAACTTCTGTTGCACTTCCTACTTGTCGATACTGAGGGGCATGACAATGTAAGTCAATAAATCCTGGACAGATAAATTGACTTTTACTTAGTTTGATAAACACGTAGCCTTGATATTCGTCAAGATTTTGATTCGTCGATGCTTCAATAATTTCAATTTTGCCATTGTTTACAACACAAACATGTTCTTGTCTAATTCGTAATGTTAATGGGTTGGGTGTATCTATTATCGTTCCATAAAAGATATATTTGTGATCAGCCATTGTTCAATTATTTTGACACGTTAACATAAATTACTAACAATAGTAAGAAAATATTTTAAAACGAAAATTCTTTTTTAAAGACTACGATAAAGAGCAGTCACAAAAAAAATAAAATACGAAATATCATTCTTACATATATCTTTTACATGGGCTGTCCTCACTATCTACATTACGTATATGCATCTTCTTATCCTTTTACTTTTGTTCTATTCGTTTCTTTGTCTCTCCTTTGTATACTCTTATATAATGTTAAGATACTTGTGATATGAATACAACAGTGGTAATGAAATAGTGAGGTAAAAATCATACGCCGACATTAGTGGTAATTCTATTCCACCAACTCTTCATTGAGAACGCTACATTCATTACAGTGATCGTCAGCTCTCGTATACTGCTGATATAGATGCAAATATTTGAAATAAATATCTTGCATACATCTCTTACCTTGATAAGATAAATACTTGATGTTAAATGCAGAACAAAATTTAATGTTGGCAATCTTGTGAGTCTTTTAGAGTGTGGGTGTGCATGAAAAATGGATATATTACCAACACTGACACCCACCCGCATCCATACCAACATCCACATCCTCACCTCACACCCACACCCATCCACCATAGGAGCTTGTATTATGAAAGGGAGGGTGGGGAGCTACTTTGTTTTTTACACTGTTCAATGCATAACAAATGAGAAAAAAAGAGGATTATTACATCTAGATATATGTAGTGGTAATCCAGGTTGTGCGAAACCAGCATCATATTCAATTTTTTGAAATTCCAGCCCATGAAACTTACTCGCAAAAAGTCTAGTAGCATAATAGGGTTTTATTTTTGAAAAAATATATGTTCGGATTTACAAAGCTCGATTTCATATTGTGTATTTATACAATCCTTCTATATTTTTTTGTAAAATGAAATATTTCAAAGATTTCGAGTATTTTTATCGTCTTCAGCTTTTGTTTCTAAGAATACTCATTTTTTTGCAACATGATATGGATCAGTACCGAGGGTTGGTTGCGAAATGGTAAATCAACTTGGTCGGTAAACTGATCGATTGAAATCAAATGTAGTACCGAAAAAATTCCGGTGAAACAGACAAAAAAACCAGCGAAAAATTTCGAGCATTTTTGAAAAACAATTTTTATAGAAAAATGGACCCAATTATGAGATACACTCTTGCACAAAAGTATTTTCTTCCTCTTTATTTCTTTGCTATCATACTTTGTACAAAATTTATTACCAAGTAGAGATATGACTTGAGAGTTTTATTGTATTGTGATCTGCATACCATACTGAAATAAAACTCTCAAGTCGTCTCTCTACTCCGCAGCAAGTTTTATGCAAAGTATGACAGTAAAGAAACAAAGAGGGGAAAGAATTTTGTGCGAGGGTGTATTTTCAGAGAGCATGTATGAAACATCCAACAAAACTATCTTTTTAAAGTGAACCTGACAACAAATAATTAAATAACCTGTTTTTTGTCCCCTTTTTTACCAACTCTACCAGGAATTTATGCGGTATCTTAGCTTTTTATGGCCTGAAACAAGATCGACAAAGAAGACTCTTGAAAAACTGCCACCCGTAAAACGGCCATCTCTACGGGTCGATTGATTTTTTTACAACCGATCTGGTTCCACTGCTGATGTAGGCCTATAAATAATGAGTTTAAAGAACTAATTATGAGTGAAGTTTCAGTCACATAAAATTTTGTTAATATGGTAATAGGAATTGAATGAAAACTAATCATAATCGATGTCGAGTTTGAAATTAAAATGAAAAATCTTTGAAACTGTGACGAACTATTAAAACCATTTCACTTGGAAGAAAAATACATTGGTGAAACAACAATATCAAAAAAGACGTAGAAAACAGTTTACTCTGTTCTGTTTCAATTCTTTGACGGTTTCTTAAAACGCAATTGTATCTATTTTGTTTATATTTTTCAATAAACAGCTTTGCAAAGACCAGTAAAGTAAACTATATGTAATTATCTTTCCGTTTATTTTTGTTTCGTTCACTAAGATAGATCTTCTCATTGTTTGTTTATTAAAAACCAAAATTATAAATATTTGAGAATGAAAAGCTTTGATTTTTCGCAATGAAAGTGCGCGTCACTATCGTATTTTTCTTCTGGTTTCGAGAGAAGGTTTCACGATTTTATAAGAAAAATCATCTGATTAACCCCTTTTTTTAACGAAAAATCCGAACTACTTAAAATTCGATTTGACAACCCTGCCGACGCCCGACAATCTCAATAAAAGTATCTCTTTGAGTATTTTTTCTGAAAATTTCTTTTGTTATTGTGCAAGCCTTTAGCATATGAGACACGATGAATACACACGTCATTATTGTGTATTATTCCATTTTCATACATTTTTCCACGAACGTCAAACAATGGCATGTGCGTATGCTGCTCGATTTTTACAAGAAGAAAAGCAAACGAATGATGATACTGTGTTGCATCATTGTCGAATATATAAGTGAGTTCTCTATTTTCACAAATATTTATTTTACACGTGTTCTTACGAAGCTTTTCTTTTTCATAACAGAATTCTCCAATACGCGTCCGCCACGAATGTATACTTCATTCTTCCTTATCATATTAACTTTCATAAGTTTTTTCCAAGAGATAAAACACAAACTTTACTATATATAGCTTGCGTTTCTTCTTCTTTTGATATTATTTTCATTATTGTGAGAAATAATGGCTGGGAAGTTGGATGCATACAAACTGCTCGGTATCGAGACGTGCGCATCAGAAGTAGCCATTCGACAGGCATATAAAAAGCAAGCTCTACAATGGCATCCGGACAAAAATAATAATGATCCAAATGCTGAAAGTATGTTCAAGAATATCAAAAAGGCATACGAAACATTGTCTGATGTCATCAGCAAAAATGAATACGATGCAACAAGAGACGACAACAATGATGACGATACTATTATACTGGATGCTTTCCAACTAAATGTCGGTAAACGAATGTCAGAGAAGTTCGAAGAAAAAATTAACCGATGGATCCTTGAGTATCCAAGGCGGACATTCGTGGATAACAGCGACAGTGTACTCTCCTCAATCGTCAAAGCTACATCAGCCAAGTACAGTCAAGAAGTAGATATGAACGGCACGCTGACAATCTGTCCAATTTGTTTTGAACGTTGTTATGATTTTACCACACACTTGCAATCACACACGCGGAATTTTGATGCATGCCTACGAGCCATTTGCAAAACAACAACACTAGAGTCTCATCTAGAGACACTAGTCGCAGAACATTGGTCTTGGATACCAATTGATCCTCCACCGTCGAACTTCAAAGGAATATGGACTAGTCCGCAATGGTCTGCTGTGCCTCGACTAATTAATGAATTCGCAACAGCTGTCGACATTCTCAAAGGGCCATCGTTACAAATTAATATGTCAGAAATGAATGCCACTGCTAAAATAGATCGCACAATTAATGAACTCGACAACGCTCGAATATTGAATATCGCAGCGAATATTGACAGGATGAAGCAAGCGATCAAGCAAGAGAATCAAACTTATCTTGCAGAAACTAAGACCAGTGTGGATGAGGATAATAAACATCGAATCCGGACAGGATCGAAAATTTGTATTGTAGATCGACCGGACCTTTCTCTTGCAGAAGTTACGTTTATTGTGCAGCCTCTTCCATCTCAGAACTGTACACGTACCAAATGTTCTGATTGCTCGAAAAATTTTATGTTTCGTCGTCGATATCAATGTCGTATGTGTGGAGAGAGTCAATGTAGCGATTGTCAAGTAATGCAAACATGTCGGCATTTGGGCTATACATCACCAGTACGCATTTGCCATCCATGCTCTAAAAGCAAGGCGTTAATTGTTGCGAACACTCTCGTGCACTACATTCAAAAACAATGCAGACGTGGTCATAACGCATATCCATACCTTTCTCAGCACTTAGCATTGTTGGCTTATTACAGATCCGATACTCGACACGATCGTCCTTTATATGATGAGATAAGCCATGCCAGTCCATCGCCGATCGACATACAAGCTTTCTCCAAAGTAGAACACACATGTGATGAATGGTTTGCTTTTGCTAACAGCCGGAGGAATGACGTTTCCGCCGTACTTACCTGTTTTAATATCATCTCACAACAATTTCGATATGAAGAATATCGATGGATTAACACAGCCGATCATTACTACACAAATGGAATGATTCCAATGGGGCTTCTTGCTTCCCGGCAGGCTAAATTGGATACTAAACAGATTTGGATTCGAGGAATGAGCAAAATACAGAATAAAAAGCATCGTACACTCATTGCTAAATACACGACGCATCAAATGCATATGAAAAATCGACTATCCACTTGGATTAGTTGGCTCACTGACCATGCTGGAAATATGAATGAGCTTAGTTCAGCCGCACTTATGACACTTTATGTAGCTCAACTATCACCAGCTGAATGGGCTATTGTTTTAGAATGCCTTGCTAAAAAGCGTGCCTATGATATGATAGCATCTATTTTGAAATCGCTTGATATTCAATCGATAGCTAGTCAGAAATATAAAGATGTCTTTTTAAACGTCGCATGTCGACTCCTTCTCGACAAGCATAACATGTTAACCATTGAACAGGTGATTATGCGCATCTCACAACGTACGAATGTGAGTATAGATACTATCGTGACTGAACTTGCTGTTGTTCATCTCTTTTATTGTCCACATTGGCACAAGATGCATACCAACTTTGTCGATAAGAAACAGTATATCGAAGCAGTCCTTTGTCACAAATTTCGTGAACATATCGAACGACTTTCGACCACAGCACTCGACTGGATTGACAACTGCGTCATTGACAACGCGTCCTTTGCATATGAACTGAAATCGCTGATCACCCACTGCAAATATGATCAACTAGCTATCTCCTACGCCGAGCTGGAACTATACGAGGTGTCAGTGCACTGCTATCTCTTGCATCTTCAGTCAGCACCTGGCCTGTCTACTGTCGATTCTATTATGAAATCAGTTCAACGTTATTGTACACCATACTTTGCATTGCGGTGTCAGGTGGCTATGTACAAACGAATGGAGTCGGATGTCAAATGCCAAGTTCACTTGCTCGAAGGTATCATCAAACTTCTGCAAGCAGATGGTAAGACAACAAGAATCTTACTCGCCGCATCTATGCTACTAGATAACACTAAAGTCGGTCTAACTATTGAACTTCTCAATGAGCTCAGTCAAGAAATAGACAAAAATTATGATACAATCGATGCTGCATTACATGCACTACACATAAAAAATGTTCGTAATGACTCCGTCAACAAATTAACCGAACTTTGCCACAAGTATTTACTGAAGAAATCATACGAGCACATTAAACCATGTATTTACCAAAGTCTCAGTCAGCTTGCCGAACGCCTTCAGGACGTCAAGTGCGTGACAGTCCTAGAAGAGCTTCACCGTGAATATTTTGCTTTACGAGATATGACAGCGTCACCAGTACAATACAAAGCCAAAATGTATCTGGTCGAAGGTGTAATTTGCAAATTAAAATGTGATTATATCGACGCTGTTGATAAATTCAATCAAGCCCTCTTATGTTATCCGTTCGAAGAAATGATCACGGCATTGACTATGCTTCTATCAGATGCTGTCTTTCATAAAGCTCTCATTCAACAACTGCTACAGTCATTCAAGTTATTGACTAAGAGTGATCTTGGAAAGCTAGCCTCAAAAATTCATCCTCCGCCAACAACATTTGTATCTGACAATTATCTAACAGGTAATGCCAACTTAAATTTTATCCGAAAATATGAGAGAGCCATTACGAAGCGATTAAATGATGATCCTCTTCGATCGGCGCTCTCCTACATTGACATGTGCGAAGCAGTACATGATCCAACATGTCTAGTTTCGAACTGGATTCTCGCTTGCTTGCATTTCTATGATTTACTTGTGCAACTGCAGTCGATACCAGCACGAGCAGCTCACATATACGCTTACAGAAATGTCATCCAGGAATTGTGCTACATGTCTTTTGTCTTCGCTCGCAACTATCTTCCACCACACATGCAAGTCTACACGTTTCGGCTTTTACTCACCATTCTCATTGAGACGAATCGTATCTTTCGTACTTCAATTAACTCTTCTACACGGCGGCATAATATTGGAGTAGAAGAACTTATTCTCAGTGAACATCAGAAGCAAGTTATGACTCAAATGATCGATAATATCATTCATCTCACTAAAGTTTCACCCCTCATCCAAATGGCGACGTCTTTAAGTCATGATGTCCTTTACATAGAAGCCGCCGGTCGGCACTTTCTAGTCGACTACCTTCAGACAATGAGCGAGCGAAACACAATGCTATTCCCACCATATTTGTATATCTATTATTTGTTTGAGGGCGTATGGAACGGTTGGGTGAATACGAAAGCATTTGATGAAATGCGTTTCATTTGTATGGAAGCTCTCTTGGCTAGTAAAGGTTGGGACATTATAGATGTACAACTGCTACTTGATATTCCTCTCATTCCTCGCACGTCCGATGGATGGCTGCATCGTGAGAAGAAGGCGCTCGGACTTGCAGGAAGTCAACGATTCAGTCGCGTCGATGGGATATCATTCGACTTAAACACGGGTGAAATGCAATTTCACTTCCAGACATCTAGGAATCGTGATGGAACGGACGCCATGTTTAGCTCCAATGATGTGACTGAAGTGTTCCAACAAGGTATACCCGCAGCCTTTTTCACACTCAATGAACCTGATAAAGATTATCATGCACATCCTTTTCATCAAATGCTCTACAGCCCACCTGCTCTTGTTGGCACGCAATACCTTGCAACATTACTGCATACCGATTATCTTCTCAAGATGCTCACGACGGGAACGGAAATCTGTGCTAAGGCACCATTCAACATGCGCTCAATTGCTGACAGCTGTTTTCAACGTCTTCCAAAGCATCTGCAAGACAAGCTTAAGCCATTACACGATCGTGAGCACAATTTTAGCTTGGGTCGAACACATCGATTTTGGATTGAGGCAGATCCTTTAGTATATGAACAACAAAATTCGACAAGTCATATCACGTTTCGCGTTGCTAATGTACATCTTCGTGTGCGTAAACATCTTCTTATTCGTAATGCTAACGGTCAGTTGGTCGATGACGATGAGGCGAACGAGACCGAAGAAGAACAGCGTTCGCCAGAAAGTCAATTTGCTAAGGCATTCACTGAACATTATGATGAAATCGGAACCTACTTTCCAGAACTACTTCGACTCAAAGAACTTTTAAAACTGAGCGCTCTCTACTTATTCGCACGTGGCCGCTGTTCCCAGCTAGCTGTGCCATACAAACTTCAACCTTTTGTGAATCAACTAGTCGAAAATCGCCGTTCCATCGAGTATCCACATGCAACACAAGCGAATATTGAACGAGACTACAGCCAGATATTGTCAACCAATAATGTGCAAGCCCATGGGGTACCACACACTGAAGCGACTCGTGTGAAACAAGGGATACGCTCACAGCTCGAAAAAATCGATCGAGAAATAGTCGAAATGCTTGTATCGTCCATATGCAAACAGGCCCACACAAATGTTTCGAGTTTACCAAGATCGCTCGTGGAACATTGGTTGAACAATCAGTATCGAGCTACAGAAAATCTAGCACAATTTGTGGTGAACGGTCTTGCAGCGTTTCATCTTACTCTTATGCATCCAATCACAAAGCTGAAAATATGTCTACAAGACATTGGTGAACAATCAGCCAGTCTGAGTAAGCATGAGAAAAGCTTTATTTGCCAAGAAAAATATTTGTTTTTGTATAGGACATTTTGATGATACTTGCAACTGGGTGCCAGCTGCTTTTTGCAACAAACTCGGCACAGGTGTACGCATTTATGGTGGGGTCAACTTACAACTCAAACTAGTAGAGGGTAACGTATCTGGAAACAATTTGACTCAAACATTTAATGCCGCTACCGTTATTAACAGTCAATCCAATGATTCAGCAAGAGGAAAAGAACAGAAAGAGGCAGCTACAAGAGAATGGGAGGCGAAAGGTAATCTTTTTAATTAAATGCGCAATAACAGTGTCAATATATATTTTAAATTTACAGTAAATGCCGGTCGGAAAAGAGAAACGGCGTCAGGTGGTAGTAGGAGGGGCGGCTCCTCGGACAATTCGGGACGAAATGTTGATGGTGGTGGTGGTGGTGGTGGTGGTTACATCGGTGATGATGAGCCGACGTCTAGCGATCGTAGAGATGCAGACGGTGTTCCAAGTTGGTATAGTGGTACAACAGAGGAGTACTACAGAGAGCGAAAACAAGCATCAGACGCTCAACGACGTCTTAAGACAGGAGAATTTCGAACAATTGATCGCATCGACACACGTCCTGAAATAATGTGGGAAGTCGAATTTAAGGATGGTTCTTCGCTTCAAAAAAATGGTCGATGGAAACATGGCGGACGGCCAATATCAAATAAAGAAGAAGCTTTTCTCCAGCAGTATGGCTGGGTACTTCCCGCCAAATGATGGTTTCTAAATTTTAATTAGGTCTGATGCACCAATACAATACTGGACCAGAATAGGCTACATTTGTTAACATTATTCAAGCCCTCCTTACATGAAAAATATTTATAAGTGTTGTTTTCTAATAATTTGAGAGCACAAGTTTAAGAAGAGCGTTTGAAAAATTATATTGTCAAAGCCAAGAATGAATTTCGTTGAATAAATTTGTCTACAATGAATCTAAATAAAATTTCTTCTAACACTGAGTGTCATTACTAATGATCGGTAGGTGAGTGAGTGTGGGTGTAGGTATTCTATTTATTTTTTATAACAATCCTTATCCGCATCCACACCCGACTCTTTGCTAGGCCAATAGTTTACTAGAGGGTGTGAATGTAGATATTACCATCATTCTACAGCTCAAACCCACACATGCAGTTAAGACAATAACTGTTTGATGATTATTTAAATCGATTTGTTGTATTAGATTAAAGAGGCAGCGTGGCCGAGCGGTCTAAGGCGCCGGTTTAAGGCACCGGTCCGAAAGGGCGTGAGTTCGAATCTCACCGCTGTCACTACTTTTTTTGTCTCCTGTCTCTTTGTGACTATATACAAAAAATAAATTTACAATTTTTGCAGTTGATGTTAAACGGTAATTGTAACAGATTACATTCGTTCCCATCCACTATCAAGGATATTTGCCAGAGACATGCGTATTCATGTCGATTATTCTTTTTCTTTTCTCTATTTGGTCTTACATTTATTATTGATTCATTCGTTGAATAAAAAACAAGCGAGTAAATTGTTTTAGATTGTTTTGAGGTATGCAAAAAATATTTGAATAGAGAATTATACGAATATGTCATATTTTTATACCATCTAATGCTTTCGAATCATCGTTTTTTCATCAACCTCATTTATTCTAATAATCGAAAAAAAGTTTATTTTGAAGAAAAGAAAGTTGATTAGAATCAAGTCACTTATATGAATAATAATTCTGATTCACCAATCCTGGAGAAGATATGTCTGTTCAATAATATATGAAAGAACAGTCAAGACAATATATATAAATCTAGTTAATAAACTTTTGTCATTTTCTTTCTTGTACTATAGTCACTGTAAAAAAAAATAAAGTCATCAATGAACTATTAAATATATCCAATTTGACGTATTACATGGAATATATGATTCTAGTATCTATTCATTTTATTTTTAATAAGTAACAAGAAAACGTGATTACAATAAAAGAAAAAAGAAAATCAGTTCACAATAAACAACAACAACTAAATCTATTCAATGTTTAAACCATAAAAATAAGATATTCAACCTTTATGTCCGCATCGTTGACATGGTGAAGAAGCACCGTATGTACCTAAAATAAATTCTGTATATAATTAATATCATAAAATAATAATAATACTTACATTTATTACATTTTTTACAATGCCATTCTCTCCAATCTTTACATCGTCGACATTCAATACAATGCCATCCACAATCTTCTTCTATAATATCATTACGACAAAATGAATAATAAAATGTCGATCCGCCTTCAGATAAAAGCATTCGAAGAAATGATTGAATTAAAGGCATTCTTTCATATTTAGCAGTACTTTTCCATTCTACTGTCCATTCTTGAAATTCTTCATCATCTAAACACATTTCTCGATAACTAGAAAGAAAATCAAATCGTAATTAACTCAACAAATTAATTAACTACTTACTTAAAATTTCGTTTGATGCGTTGAAGTAATGCATAACGATCAATTGTTTGTAATTCATCAAGATTTTTAGCTTTTTTAGTAAGCCATCGAGCAAAACAAGGATGTACAGTACATTTTTCATTTTCACCAAAAAAATAGTCCATATGATTGAATATATTTTCACATGATACATCAGAAGAACGTGTTGAACAATCACATTTGTCCTTTTCTTCTTCTTCATTGAGATTTAACTGTTCTATTTCAGTAATTATTGCACTTGCACCTGTATTTTGTAATTCATCATCATCTGAAATTTCTTCGTTCGACATTGTCGTTTGTTTATATAAAAATGAAATCGACTTATCGAAAAAGATAAGATAATTTGTTTCTGTTCTCTAACGAATTGAACGAAGAATATATAATTAAATATAATATAGACGGCCAATTAGTACAATTAGAATTTATGTATACTGATTTTGAATCTCTCTTTTTTACTGAATATCGAATTTCCACGTTTTATCATTTGAAACTTTTCAATAAATAAAATATTTCTTTAAAATATAAAAAAATTCTTGAAGATAATTTTTTTCATGAATAGATGACGCTATAAAATGGTCTAAGAATTTATTAGATATCAAGTTACGTAAAGTTTAAATGGAAAATCTATACTAGTTTATTGTTAATATGAATGATAAGACTTTAAAAAAATGTGTTTATCGTTTTTACAGAAGTTTTTTTTCTAGTTGTTTGTTGTTTCAGCCAATGTATAAACCAACTTTTCAGCTGTTACTTTATTGTCCATCATTTGTTTAAATCCATGTTCAACTGCATTAAGTCCGCCTGATATTTTACATACTTTGTTTGGTTTAACAAGACCTTCTGGTAATAAGACATCCGTTAATAGTTTATAGAATTTTTCAGCAAATTCTTTATCTTGTGGTTTTGCTGGATAATCTTGACCAAAAACATGCATAGATCGTCCAAAAGTCGTATACATCATAACTGGACGTTCCTTAACATGTGATGGTATTTCATTTGATACACCAGGTAGAACAGTAGCTACTTGAGAATTATTACCTGTTAGCGTAGCACATACTTGTACTATTGATTCCTTTTCTGATATACAATCAATAGCATAAGCTAAATTGTCTTTCGCTGCTTGTTTTATCTGTGAGACAACGTTAGCATCTTTATAATTGAAACAAACATCAGCACCAAGTTCTTTTAAATAATCATGACGAGCAGGTGATGCTGTAGTAATGACATAACATCCGGCTGCTTTAGCCAATTGAATTGAATATTGACCAACACTCGTACTACCAGCCCAAATAAGAACAGGTACTTGAGAAGTGGCAGGTGGAAGTGGTAATTTCATTTCATGAAATAAACCGAGAGCTGCAGTAATTGAAGCTAGTGGAATAGTTGCAGCTGCTTCTGGTGATATTGTAGATGGAAAACGAAAGACAAGCGATGCTTCTTGAACGACATATTCAGAATAAGCACCACGAACATCGAACTGAGGATCTTGACCACCATGAACACATCCAGCTACACGTTCACCTTTTGTATAATTACCTAAACATATAATAGCAAACAGTAAACTTTTATTACCTAAATAAATTAATATATAAAGATACTAACCAATAGCTTCTTTGCCAATTTCAGCAACTTCACCCGAAAAATCGCAACCAACAATAGATCCCGGTTTAGCCATACCATAATGAACATGTTTCCAATCTGTTGGATTTTGAGCAACGTGAGTCACTTTAATCAGAAGATCTTTAGGACCATATTTAGGTAGCTAATCGAATATAAAATAAATTGTATCGTATGATTCAACAACAAATGTTATTACTTACATCAAATTTTTCAATAACAAGTTGCTTATTTTCACGTACGACGAGTGCGACGGGCATGATCAATGTATTAATGTTAGTATAAAGCGTAAAATAAAATGAAGTAATACAAGTGAATGTCTACCTTTTTCTTATATTTATACGGAGCACACTATTTCTTTTCTTTTTTTTCATCTTCATGATACTATTCGCTGATTATCCTTTTTCTTTTCTCTCATTCTCGCCGTTATTCGAAAGTTCATTCATCGTCAAAACGAATGCATCGTAAGCACACATGTTAAATCGATTCTTTTGTTGTGGTATGAGTGTAAATGAAATAGAATAACCACACCCTCCATTGTGCTAGACAATAAAAATGAAGGTTGACTTAAAACGAAATAAACTAAACATATTTAGTGTATACACGCGCCATCTTTTGATAGAAAATTTTTTTAAACTAATTCAGTAGCTAAAACAAATTTCAAAGACAATAATAGGACTATTTGTTCTATCATCATTTCAAAGCCTATAGGTTTGACAACTTTACATATCTTATAAAGGTTGTAGTATTCTACTAATGAGCATGAATCAATCAAGCACAACACATTTCAATTTGTTTTTTTAAATATTACATATGGCTGCTATTTTATCTTTTATCTAAGTAAAATTCAGTGATAACCTGTTCTTTATAACAATGTGATAGAAATACAAGTACGAATACAGAAATTCTGAATCTATTTATCTAATAATAAAAATGTAATATACATTATTGATGTGAGTAGACATATATTGTTATTTGTATCATTTTCATATGGATTGTAATTCAAGTTAATTATTTATTTTCTAATAGACAACGTCTTTTTAAGTTATGAAAAGCTTAACAAAATCACAATACATCTGAATATTCATTTCTTAATTATTCTCATGGTAACTGTAGTTTCTGATTATTGTATCTGAATCATTTCTTTTCTTCTCTCGTTCTTGACTTTTTTTTTGTGTTCTGCTTATAAGACTTGTATTGACAGAAGTGTTAAACAAAATAAGTTCAACAACAACAAAAAAAAATGAGCGTCTACTTGTAGCTTTTCTCGTCGGTTACAGAGAGAGAGAGAGAAAAAAGAGAAGTATACTTCTTATTATAAAGTGCACAAACTATTTTTTCTTGGTAACGAGCGGTCGGTAACATTTGGTTAATTTTCATCGGTATTACTAAATACATACATACACATAACTATGTCGGATGAACAATTGAACAATATGGGACCAGTTATGGTTTGTTGACAGATAATTGAAATGTTTAAATGAATTATATTTATCTCTTCTTTTTTCTAGGATGCAACACCTGAAATTCAAGCACTAAGGTATATTATTTATCATACAATTAAATGTACTTTTATCATCACTTTTTGTTTTTTAAACAGTGAACGTCCAGAAATAAGAGAAGCTGCGATCGATGCTTTACATAAGAAACATCGTGAGAATCGTGTACATCACTTTACTGAAGAACACCGGGAAAAACATATAAATAATTGGCAGTGAGTTACTCTGCATTGTTTTTAATTCTATTTCTCGAAATCATATAGAGTAACCAAATATGCTGAAGAACCGGTAGCTTATGGCGTCAATTATTTCATGAAAGTATCTATTGGTGATGGTTTATTTATTCATATTCGTGTTCATCGGCAAGAACACCAGAATATATATGATTTTTATTCATTACATGAAACATTTAAACATAATGAGGCAACATGCATTTTTACAGAAGGTATATGAAAAATTTAATTAGAAAGAAAGTTAAAAATTTCTCCTTTTTTTTAGCTGATCCATTAACATATTTCAATTACTAAAATTAGTCGATCCATCACCAAAATTATGAAATGACTCGCTTCGCACACTAACTCATATATTGCTTTTTGCATTTAGATAAATATATTTATATTTCTATTATTAACAACAAATATTGTTTGTATAGTTACTCGGAGAAAAGCTGATTAGTGCAGCTTGTTTCAAGCTTAAATTTACTAGTTCTCATGTCTTTTTCTTAGCGAGAAGAAAACAAAGCAAAAGCATTGCTATCAGTTCATCATATATTTGATTAATAAGAAGAATAGGTCTATTAAGATATTGAATAAACTATTTCAATTGTCTTTTTTATTTATAATACTAATGTTGCATACACTAAACAACACTATATGAAATCAAACAGTCTATAAAGTCATGGATGAAAGTGACATTCTTAATTAATAGCGTACGAATTTTTGAATGCGATTGTTATTGGTATCAGCTACATATAAATTAAGTTGACTATCCAATGCTAAACCATATGGATTATACAGATGAGTAGCATTGGAACCTTGTGAGTTGGTGACACCGGCAATGGTTGAAGCAATCGATTGATTTGATGGATAGAATTGAATTCTATGATTTCCTGCATCTGCAACATACATATTTCCCATTGGATCAAGTGTCATTCCAATAGGATAATAAAGAAGTGTAGACGTAGTACCAGCTAATGAATTTAAACTACCAGCAATCAGCGTCCACTTACTATCACCTATTGTCCATCGAACAATATTGTTCGCTAAATAATTAACAATGATTAGACTATTCGATAAAGAATCGAAATAAACACTTATGGGACCATCTAGTTGTGTATAATTTGTTCCACCACCATTTCCGCCAGCAACCACAGTTCCAAAAGTTGCATTTGACAGGTAGCTCATTATTCTATTATTGCCAAAATCTGCTACATAAAGTGTATCCGAACTTGAGTCTCGTGAAATCCCATATGCATTATACAATGCATAGTTTGAGGAACCAGCGGTATCTGACAAGATGAAGATTTATTATTTATTTAATTAAATATTTTTCTTATTCACTCACTATTGCCAGCGATTAGTGTTCCTGAAATAGCATTTCTAGGCCAAAAAAGAACTCTTGAATTGCCAGAATCTGCTATGTAGAGATTACTATTTGAATCAACGATAATACCAGCTGGTAGGTGCAACTGATTTAAACCTACACCCACCGTACAATTTTTTTCTCCGGCAATAGTTGATCCGTTTGATGCTCCTCTAAGCCAGGATTGAACCCTATAACATCCGTAATCAGTAATATAAAGTGTGTTATCATAATCGATTGCCAAACTAAACGGATTAGTTAAACGATCAGCAGCAGCACCAGGTAATCCCGTAATTCCAGCAACCGTGATGCCCACTGGATTCCAACGTAATACAGCGTTAGTAGCTATTTACATAAAAACAAGGAAATTTACTTAACTGTCTTTATTCATATTATATCTTACGTTTAATTTTTGTTGTTTTTGACTTTGTTAGAATCATCGTAGGAACTATAATAATAGTTATTAACAATAACAAACCAATTATCAGTGACAAAAGTATACATAAAGGTGAACATCTATAAAAAAAAAGTCACAAGAAATATATATATAGTTATTCGTAAAACAATGTATTACTTTTTCTTTTTCTTTTCATTTGGATGACGATGATGGTCTTTTGTGACATCAAAACGATTAGATGATGAATATAATGACTAAGTTTATTCAACAAGTAATATAAGAACGAGAGAAAAAGTTTTAAGGGTGGGAGATTATTAAGAATCCTTCAAGTATGTATAGTCTTCAAAATCTATCCTAGAGCTATCATGATTCAATAAACTTTCAACTTACTTTAGTGTCTATCAATTTTAAACTATTAAGTGTTTTCGTTGAATGAGCATCAAATTGTGGTGTAACTCGATTTGAATGATCATATCTCCATTTGTTTTGACTTTGCTAGAATAATAAAGAAAAGAAAATGAAATAATTATTTTCTACAAAACTAAAAGCAGTACTTGTGAAACAGATTCATAATCTTGTCGAAGACTAGTTAGACTCATAGAATGTCTTGGTTTTATTGATGGTTCAATAAAGTATTCAGTTCGAGACAATTTTCCAATTTGGTGAGTAGTAAAAGCTGATAGTGGATGTATGCTGTTATGATATTTTAACGAGCTTTTATCTGTAAGAGGATCTTTATTTATTTGTCGAATGGATGTATGAATTATAGTAGTAGCTTGTGATCCAGTTGTACTTAACCCATGTTGCTAAATTAAATATCAGTAAAAATTTAGAAAAATTTGTCTAATAAGTTTACTTTATTTTTCAAAGATCGATGACGACGTTGAAGTTTCTTAACTACTGGTCGATGTTGTTTATCGTTAATCATGATTTTACTTCGATTTAAAACAAAGTTTTGTTAATATTCTTCTAACATATATTCTTATATATGAATGATTTTGTTTTTTTGAATGAGATGCATCATTTATAACAACGCAAAAAAAAATAATTAAATTTCTTTTTAATAATGTTTGTTTGGAATGGGTTTCTGTGTTTTTTTGTTTATTTATTATACAACAGAATAGAATGAAAAAGAAAGGACTGGATGAAATTCGAATTAGTTCATTTTCTTTATTCAACACGAAATTATATATACGCACATGTAATTAAAATCTTTAATAATGTATGAAACTTAACTAGATTTTTGAATTTTATTTAATGAAATACGTACTGTAAATATATATATATATGACTTACTTTCAGAACTCTCTGTTCATATTCCAGTGCATATTCGATCAACTACGAATAAAAACCATACGATAGATTGAATTATAATAATAGAGTTTCACTGTACTTTGTTCGTTTGTAAGTCAACAGCATGATGATTAATAAAACTCTTTATGTCAGTATTGATTTGATCAACGATAATGAATAATAACGTAAAGAGAGAAGAAAATCAAAAGCAATCATTTTGTTTCTTTCAGTTCAAATATTTCATTACTTTTAAGAAAGATGTTCTTGTGCCATTGATTAAAAAAATGAAAAAAAACACAAAGCAGCAAAATGTTCTTCATCGATCTGTACTCAATGCTTTTGTGATAGAGAAGAAAATCGATCGTACATGGGTTGAATAATAACACATTCCGTTTTGGTCATCAAATCTTCAATGAAAAAAACAAACCATCTTGAGGGTGTGAGCCAAGAGACACTCACACCCCGTATTCGGTTAAAAGAAGATCTGATACTTTTCGGACTGATCTGTCTAATCCACAAGATATCATTATAGATCAATGTGGAAATCTTTACGTGATTGAAATAGATACTGGGATGATTTGATTCAAGTGATCATAAATGGAGTAAACATAAGTTTTAACGATCAAAATACTTCTTTAGAGAAACCAATTAGCCTGGCGATAGATTTAAAAAATACTCTTTATGTGACGGATCGATTCAATCATCGAATTCTTAAGTTTCCGTTCGCTTCTGAGGATCTTTTATTCAAAAATAAAGGTTTTTCTAAGACCAAAAATAGAATTTGTATGTTGATTTCTTCTTCGTTCCAAATTCAAATAGTCAGCAACATCCATGCCCACACCCTCGCCCAACAGTAAAAGAATTAATATTTTTTTGAGTAATATAAAAATCACTAGCAAACGTCGACAACTTGTATTAAAAAAAAGAGTTCCGACGCCGGGAATCGAACCCGGGCCTCCTGCGTGAAAGGCAGAAATCCTAACCACTAGACCACGTCGGATATATATGAATATCATTATTATTTGTTTATAATTATACTATCGATAATTAACTTCA